CTTATTTATATCCTCTTCCACTTCTCTTCTGTTAGCTCCTGTCATCTGCAATGATAGAAAGAATTGAGTCCTCTCTGGAAGGTTATTTACATTCATTAAGAATAATAATCGTTCTCATTATGATCCTTGAGGGACCTCACTCATGATCATTTCCCATCCTCAAACGCCTGTCCTTACTATCACCACCTGTCTTCGATTTGTTAGGTATGTTGACCCTATGTAATACCTTAGCTTATATTCCTGCTTTTTCCTCTAATCTTTAAATTAATCTTTGATAGAGTACAGGGTAAAACACTTTCCTGCAGTCCAAGAATATACAGCCGATCCATAAATTCTTCCTTAATCACTGTTATTCTTTAGCCTGAGCTTATTGTCAGTAAATCCATGCAGATTATCTACGAGAAAGACCCTATTCTCTCAGTGCTCAACCAACCTGTTCGTGATTCTCTTTTCCAATTCTTTGTACTGCATACCACTGATACAGACCTATAATTCAATGCCTGTTGCCTGGTGTGTGACTGGAGGGGGAGGGGGGAGAAAGAAAGCGTATTGAGAGAGTATTATAAAGAAAGTGTATTAAGAGAGTATTGTTGTTGCAGGTGGTGTGGGAGCGGGCAGTGGATATATCTGTGGTGCTCTCCTACCAGCACTTGGCAGACCTCTTCACACTTTTGGTGGGCATCCTGATTATCGTCTTCTACATTAACATGGGCGCCACTATCAACCTGGAGGTGGTCAAGAATATCATCACAAGACCAGTGGGACCCGTGGTGGGCCTCATCTGTCAGTACCTCTTCATGCCTCTGGTAAGATGTTATTCTCCCTGCACAAAGGACATGCATCTGTCTACACAACACATCCATCACACACACACACACACACACACACACACACACCCACACAAAACACACACACACCACACACACCACAGCGGGGCCAGGAGCTGAGTCTCGACCCCTGCAACCACAATTAGGTGAGTACACACACACACACACACACACACACACACGCATACACACACATACCATGCCACATCCAATGCCCCCACCCACTACATTACAAACTCCACCCCCACAGCAACCACCCATAGTTCCTTATCAGGTCTCCCACTTCCCCAACCCCAATACATCTCCCAGACCACAGTCTTAGAAAAGAAGTTGAAGGTGTGGTATACAAATGCAGATGGAATAACAAATAAGTATGAGGAGTGGCACGAAAGAATCAAGGAGACATCCCCAGACATAATAGCACTCACAGAAACAAAACTCACCAGAATAATAACAGATTCAATCTTTCCACCCGGATATCAAATCCTCAGGAAAGACAGAGGGAGGAGAGGGGGAGGAGGAGTTGCACTGCTCATTAAAAACCAGTGGGGTTTTGAGAAAATGGAAGGAATGGATGGCACGGGTGAAAGGGACTACTTAGTAGGAACAATCCAGTCTGAGGGACATAAGGTGATAATTGCAGTAATGTACAACCCACCACAGAACTGCAGGAGATCAAGAGAAGAATACAATGAGAGCAACAGAGCCATGGTCGACACACTAGCCGAGGTGGCCAGGAGAGCACACATGGGGGGAGCAAAGTTACTAGTTATGGGTGATTTCAATCACAAGGAGATTGACTGGGAAAACTTGGAGCCCCATGGGGGTCCCGAAACATGGAGAGCCAAGATGATGGATGTAGTACTGGAAAACCTCATGCATCAACATGTTAGAGACACTACCAGAGAGAGAGGAGAAGATGAACCAGCAAGACTGGACCTTGTATTCACCTTGAGTAGTTCAGACATCGAGGATATCTTGTATGAAAGGCCCCTGGGAGCTAGTGATCATGTGGTTCTGTGCTTCGACTACATAGTTGAGCTCCAAGTGGAGAGAGTAGCAGGAATAGGGTGGGAAAAACCAAACTACAAAAGGGGGAACTACTCAGGCATGAGGAACTTCCTTCAAAACATTCAGTGGGAGAGGGAACTGACAGGAAAACCAGTACAAGAAATGATGGACTATGTGGCAACAAAATGCAAGGAGGCAGAGGAGAAGTTTGTTCCCAAGGAAAACAGAAATAATGGGAAGAACAGAACGAGTCCTTGGTTCACCCAAAGGTGTAGGGAGGCAAAAACTAGGTGTACTAGAGAATGGAAAAGGTACAGAAGACAGAGAACTCAGGAAAATAAAGAGATTAGCCGAAGAGCCAGAAACGAATATGCACAGATAAGAAGGGAGGCTCAGCGACAATATGAAAATGACATAGCATCGAAAGTCAAGACTGACCCGAAGCTGTTGTACAGCCACATCAGGAAGAAAACAACAGTCAAGGACCAGGTAATCAGACTGAGGAAGGGTGATGGGGAATTCACAAGAAACAACCGAGAGGTATGTCAGGAGCTCAACACGAGATTTAAAGAAGTATTTACAGTGGAAACCAGTAGGACTCCAGGAAATCAGAACAAGGGGATACACCAGCAAGTGCTGGATGAGGTACATATAACCAAGGAGGAAGTGAAGAAGCTGCTATGCGAACTTGACACCTCAAAGGCGGTGGGACCAGACAACATCTCTCCGTGGGTCCTTAAAGAGGGAGCAGAGATATTGTGTGTGCCATTAACAAAGATCTTCAACACATCATTTGAAACTGGCAACTCCCTGAGGTATGGAAGATGGCAAATGTAGTCCCAATTTTTAAAAAGGGAGACAGACATGAGGCACTAAACTACAGACCTGTATCACTAACGTGTATAGTATGCAAGGTCATGGAGAAGATCATCAGGAGGAGAGTGGTGGAGCACCTGGAAAGAAACAAGTGTATAATTGACAACCAGCACGGTTTCAGGGAAGGAAAATCCTGTGTCACAAACCTACTAGAGTTTTATGACAAGGTGACAGAAGTAAGACAAGAGAGAGAGGGGTGGATCGACTGCATTTTTTTGGACTGCAAGAAGGCCTTCGACACAGTTCCTCACAAGAGGTTACTGCAAAAGCTAGAGGATCAGGCACACATAACAGGAAAGGCACTGCAATGGATCAGAGAATACCTGACAGGGAGGCAACAACGAGTCATGGTACGTGACGAGGTGTCAGAGTGGGCGCTTGTGACAAGCGGGGTTCCACAGGGGTCAGTCCTAGGACCTGTGCTGTTCTTGGTATATGTGAACGACATAACGGAAGGGATAGACTCAGAAGTGTCCTTGTTTGCAGATGGTATGAAATTAATGAGAAGAATCAAATCGGATGAGGATCAGGCAGGACTACAAAAAGACCTGGACAGGCTACAAGCCTGGTCCAGCAACTGGCTCCTTGAGTTTAACACTGCCAAATGCAAAGTCATGAAGATTGGGGAAGGGCAAAGAAGACCGCAGACACAATATAGTTTAGATGGCCAAAGACTGCAAACCTCACTCAAGGAAAAAGATCTGGGGGTGAGTATAACACCGAGCATATCTCCTGAGGCGCACATCAATCAGATAACTGCTGCAGCATACGGGCGCCTGGCAAACCTACGGAAAGCGTTCCGATACCTCAGTAAGGATTCGTTCAAGACTCTGTATACCATTTACGCCAGGCCCATACTGGAGTATGCAGCACCAGTTTGGAATCCACACCTAGTCGAGCACGTCAAGAAATTAGAGAAAGTGCAAAGGTTTGCAACAAGGATAGTCCCAGAGCTACGGGGATTGTCCTACGAAGAAAGGTTGAGGGAAATCGGCCTGACGACACTGGAGGACAGGAGGGTCAGGGGAGACATGATAACGAGATATAAAATACTGCGCGGAATAGACGAGGTGGACAAAGACGGGATGTTCCAGAGAGGGGACCCAGACACAAGAGGTCACAATTGGAAGTTGAAGACTCAGATGAATCAAAGGGATGTTAGGAAGTATTTTTTCAATCATAGAGTAGTCAGACCGTGGAATAGCCTAGAAAGTGACGTAGTGGAGGCGGAAACCATACATAGTTTTAAGGCGAGGTATGATAAAGCTCATGGGGCAGGGAGAGAGAGGACCTAGTAGCAATCAGCGAAGAGGCGGGGCCAGGAGCTATGAATCGACCCCTGCAACCACAAATAGGTGAGTACACACACACACATACACACACACACACACACAAAACACACACACACACACACACACACACACACACACAACACACACCACACACACACACACACACACATGTACACTGTGGTAAATTATAGCTCTAGGTTCGATGTCGAACAAAAGCATCCAAGGATTCTTAATGTGGAAGTTTCCCACTGAAATCTCCACACACACACATTCTCTCTCTCTCCACTCTCTCACTGTCAACTTCTCTCTCTCTCTCTCCTCTCATCCTCTTCTACTCTCTCTCATCTCTCTCACACCTCTCTCTCACATCTCTCTCTCTCTCTCCTCTCTCTCTCTCTCTCTCCTCTCTCTCCCCTCTCTCTCATCTTCTCTCTCTCTCTCTCTCTCTCTCTCTCTCTCTCTCTCTCTCTCTCTCTCTTCGATTCACAGCTTCAGAACTTAGATTAGTCACGAGGGAGCATTCACCAAATTCAACTTCAATAACAAAAACATAAAGTGGGACCAAGTAAACCAAGTCCTAACCGATATAAGCTGGGAAGATATACTAAGCAACACAGACCCCAACTTATGCCTAGAACAGATTAACTTGGTGGCACTCGATGTATGCACAAGGCTTATTCCTCTAAGAAAAATGAGGAGTAGATGTAAAATAGAAAGAGACAGGCGCTCCCTTTACAGGCGACGGAAAAGAATAACAGAGTGGCTAAAAGAGGTCAATATATCTGAAATGCGTAGGGAGACACTGGTCAGAGAAATAGCAAACATCGAACTTAAGCTAAAGGAATCTTATAGGAGTCAGGAATCGCGGGAAGAACTAAAAGTCATAAATGAAATCGAAAGAAACCCAAAGTATTTCTTCTCCTATGCCAAATCAAAGTCGAGAACAACGTCCAGTATTGGGCCCTTACTTAAACAAGATGGGTCCTACACAGATGACAGCAAGGAAATGAGTGAGCTACTCAAATCCCAATATGACTCAGTTTTTAGCAAGCCGCTAACCAGACTGAGAGTCGAAGATCAAAATGAATTTTTTATGAGAGAGCCACAGAATTTGGTTAACACAAGCCTATCTGATGTTATCCTGACGCCAAATGACTTCGAACATGGCGATAAATGGAAATGCCCATGAACTCTGCCCCAGGGCCAGACTCATGGAACTCCGTGTTCATCAAGAACTGCAAGAAGCCCCTATCACGAGCCTTTACCATCCTATGGAGAGGGAGCATGGACACGGGGGTCGTCCCACAGTTACTAAAAACAACAGACATAGCCCCACTCCACAAAGGGGGCAGTAAAGCAACAGCAAAGAACTACAGACCGATAGCACGAACATCCCATATCATAAAAATCTTTGAAAGGGTCCTAAGAAGCAAGATCACCACCCATCTAGAAACCCATCAGTTACACAACCCAGGGCAACATGGGTTTAGAACAGGTCGCTCCTGTCTGTCTCAACTATTGGATCACTACGACAAGGTCCTAGATGCACTAGAAGACAAAAAGAATGCAGATGTAATATATAACAACTTTGCAAAAGCCTTCGACAAGTGTGACCATGGCGTAATAGCGCACAAAATGCGTGCTAAAGGAATAACAGGAAAGGTCGATCGATGGATCTATAATTTCCTCACTAACAGAACACAGAGAGTAGTAGTCAACAGAGTAAAGTCCGAGGCAGCTACGGTGAAAAGCTCTGTTCCACAAGGCACAGTACTCGCTCCCATCTTGTTCCTCATCCTCATATCTGACATAGACAAGGATGTCAGCCACAGCACCGTGTCTTCCTTTGCAGATGACACCCGAATCTGCATGACAGTGTCTTCCATTGCAGACACTGCAAGGCTCCAAGCGGACATCAACAAATCTTTCAGTGGGCTGCAGAAAAACAATATGAAGTTCAACGATGAGAAATTTCAATTACTCAGATATGGTAAACACGAGGAAATTAAATCTTCATCAGAGTACAAAACAAATTCTGGCCACAATATAGAGCGAAACACCAACGCCCAAAGACCTGGGAGTGATCATGTCGGAGGATCTCACCTTCAAGGACCATAACATTGTATCAATCGCATCTGCTAGAAAAATGACAGGATGGATAATGAGAACCTTCAAAACTAGGGATGCCAAGCCCATGATGACACTCTTCAGGTCACTTGTTCTATCTAGGCTGGAATATTGCTGCACACTAACAGCACCTTTCAAGGCAGGTGAGATTGCTGACCTAGAAAATGTACAGAGAACCTTCACGGCGCGCATAACGGAGATAAAACACCTCAATTACTGGGAGCGCTTGAGGTTCCTGAACCTGTATTCCCCTTGAACGCAGGCGGGAGAGATACATGATTATATACACCTGGAAAATCCTAGAGGACTAGTACCGAACTTGCACACGAAAATCACTCACTACGAAAGCAAAAGACTTGGCAGACGATGCAACATCTCCCCAATGAAAAGCAGGGGTGTCACTAGCACGTTAAGAGACCATACAATAAGTGTCAGAGGGCCCGAGACTGTTCAACTGCCTCCCAGCATACATAAGGGGGATTACCAACAGACCCCTGGCAGTCTTCAAGCTGGCACTGGATAAGCACCTAAAGTCGGTTCCTGATCAGCCGGGCTGTGGCTCGTACGTTGGTTTGCGTGCAGCCAGCAGTAACAGCATGGTTGATCAGGCTCTGATCCACCAGGAGGCCTGGTCACAGACCGGGCCGCGGGGGCGTTGACCCCCGGAACTCTCTCCAGGTAAACTCCAGGTAACTCCAGTACCCAAAGTACCTGTCTCAAAGGAGGCACTGATTATGTTGTCTTTGAACCAGTTAGTAATGGGGAAGTGATAACCCATTAATTACGTTAATATGTTAATGTTATGCAGTACCGCCAAGTAGATGAATACCCCTCCCCCCCCACACACACAACAGCGAAGAGGCGGGGCCAGGAACTATGACTGCAACCACATATAGGTAAGTACACACACATCTGTGCAGTGAACTACAGGACAGCACCACAGACTTGCATCCTGTCCAAAGTATTGAAGATTGTCAAGAGGAGGACACTGAAGGATTTGGAGAGGACGCTTCAGCAACGGGAGACTATTTAACAAAACTACTGAAGTTCTTTGTCGAAATAATCGAGATAATGAACGAAACAAAAGGAATAATAAATTGCATCTTTCTGAAGTGCAGGAAACATCTCGAAGGTAGAAAATAGAGAGTAACATTACGGGAGGAAATGTTTGAATGGACAGTAATAACATATAGGGTTCCCAAAGTATCAGAACTCGAGCCACTACGTTTCCAGAAAAAAATGGAAGTGACTTGCCATAAGGGGATCGAATTCCATATACGTATATCTGTACTGACAATTAGAGTCTATTGATAAGAAAATAAACAGAAGACGACAGAGAGGGACGACATGGAGAATTGGACAAGTTATAGTTTAGTCAGACAAATGATTATTGAACTTTTTTTTCGAGTAAGTGGAAAATCATGCAATTCGTATAAAAGAGAGGGAAGACTAAAGATGGAAAACAGACCAGGAGGAGAGAAACTGCAAACGTCGCACAAAGAAAATGATCTGTAATTGAACATGACACAACATACCGCCGGAGGAGCACATCAGCTGTATGACCCTTTTTTTTTTTTACACAGGGTTTGACAAGGTTAGGGATCCCTAGCTTTATTGACAAGCTATTTACAGGTTAAGGATTCCTAGCTTTATTAACAAGCTATTTACAGGTTAAGGATTCCTAACTTTATTGGTAAGCTAAGAGCTGTTACCTACATCAGCTCATTTGAAAGCATTTTTATTGTTATGAGACATACAAGTAGGGAACAGGATGAAGTTGGAGCCATTTGTGGGCCAGCATTTTCATGTGATCAACTGACTTTATCTCGTTGACATCATTATGCTGTACGAATGTGTTCCATATTCGAGTCATCCTGGTCATCCTTGGTAACCTCTGTGAAATTAGAGAATCTCAGAAAAACTTTCAGCGACCTCGCTGAAGCATCCTTCACGAATCTATGCATAACGTATATCAGGTCTGTCTTAAAGTGCGTTTCACCAATGTGGAGTTCCTGTTTGATCAAGCATGTTGAGAAGCATGTGAAGATCCCAAGGTTATCAACTAGACTAGTTCTAGAATTGGCAGTGTTCACTACGCGGAGAGACTAGAGAAACTGGTAAATGTGGATGACTCCACAACTCGCCAACACAACCCTCCAGCATAACCCTCCTAGACTTCTTTCTATAGTCCCACCTCACAACCTCAATCCACAGTCCCTCTCCACAACCTTCTTTCACAACATCATCCTACAGTCCAGTATGCTACACACACACACATTTCATTACCTCGTGTACAAAAACCATTCTGTGTGATGGAATATGATACTGCCTATGTACCCAGTCATGTTTAATTTAAAAAAATACTAATTTCTCTGGCTCTTCTGCAGATCGCTTTTGGTGTGGGTTGGCTTACCTTCCCAGAGAACCCTCTAGGTCAGCTGGGTTTCTTCCTGGCTGGGTGTTGCCCCGGCGGCGGGGCTTCCAACTTGTGGACCCACCTCCTAGGAGGCTCCCTCGACCTTTCCGTGATGATGACCTTCGTCTCTAGCGTCTTGGCTTTCGGTAGGGCAGGAGCCAGTGGTGTGATCACCTATATGTTGACCCAGCATGCTCATGGTGCCCAGTCTCCCATTGTTTACTTTTTCATATAACTGTTAAAACGTCTCCAATGGTTGTAGCACTCACTTCCCCTTGCATCGTACTCCAGCAATCTAAGACACTATATGTGAAAAACTCACTCTAGTATTCTTTTTGAACCTTCATTGTTTTTTTAATTAGTGGCCTTCGTTTTTCCGGTTGAGGACGCTAAAAAGGTAATGCTCAATTATATTCTCATATCCCTTCATGATCTCATGTGCTATATAACGTTATATGAAGGCATTTCAGTTCTGCTAGTCTTCGTAGTAATGTATCGGATGTCCGCATCCTCGGAAAATCCGCACAATTTCTTACTTCCGCATCCGCATTTCACTGTAAACAGATATCCGCATATACATCTGCATCCGCAAAATAAGTAAGACATCCTCATACACATCCACATCCGACGGATATCTGAATTTTCACATCCGATACGTCTCTACTTCGTAGGTCATCTCTGGACTCTACTAGCTGTGGGAGGAATTTTTTTGTAGACATCCTTAGAATCTTTTATTTAATATACATCATTTTTGAAGTCCTCGACTCCTTACTACAGCTGCATTAATCCAGTTTCTCCATGCATACACTGAAGGTTATTTTAAAGTTAATCAGTATAACACATGAGCTTCTCATTAATGAAGACAAGTGTGATCATCGTGATGTTTTCATTATCTTCAGTATTCTTCACGAGCTGTCACCTACCCCCCCCCCTTCACAAGTTATTGCATAACTCTGCTGTTTCACTTGCTTAACATTTACTTCTTGCTTTTCTTGTGTTCACACAGTGATGTGCCATTGGGGTGTTTTGCTGGGTTTCGGGTCACCTGTGGTTGTCAGTTTTTCACCACTTATGGAACATGTGGGTGGTTCTTGCTCTGTCGGGCATCATGAGGAGCGTTTTCGGGTTTAGTCCATCCCTACGTCCCCTTTCCGGCTTGGGCTAGGTCTTCCTCCATAGTCCCCTAGCAGCTGGCATGGGTATCCTGGTGTTCTCATCCTGGGTAGATTAAGCCCCTAGTAACGTCTCGATTGCCACTGATTCTTGGGTACGGGGTCTCCCCCGGGGGTTAGGTCTTATCTAGTCTTATCTTGTCTTCTCCCAGGCACGTCTCCCCGGGTAGGTTTCCTACCAAGTACATCTCCCCAGAAGGAGAAATCTTACAAATTACCGAGCAGGGGTAGGAGGAGGAGGAGGATGTGTCTTGTAAAGAATATAAGCTCACAATACCATGATTGGAACAATACACAGATAACCCGCACCTAGCAGACCTAAATTTATGAAGACGTTTCCGAAGTTTCGGTGTAACTTGTTAATGGTCTAAGTCGAACTGGAACGTCGTCATTAGTTTCAGTCCGCCTAAGAGTGAGTAAATTTAAGCAGGTGTCTTGTTTCAGAGAGGTGATTTACCAGCTAGGAACGGGAGTGACTGAACGTAATTCTCCTGTATCTCTTATTTTACAGAGTGGCCAAGGGCCTGAGGTGCCTTCTGACACCACTGGCACTCATCGTCATCATCTTCACCTTCACCTTCGGTGTTTACGCTAACCGCTATGTCTTCAGCCTCTTCGATGTGAAGGTGATAGTGAGTGATAGTGAACTGGGTGTGAGGGAGTGCATGAGGGTGTATGAGTGTGTGGGAGGGTATGGGAGAGGGTGTGTGGGGGAGAGTTTCAGAGTAAGTGTGAGGGAAGTGTCAGAGTAAGTGTGAGGGTGAGTTTAGGGGGGTGTGGAGGGTATGGGAAAGTGTATGTATAAGGAACGGAAAGAATGTACTCACCTAATTGTGGTTGCAGGGGTCGAGACTCAGCTCCTGGCCCCGCCTCTTCACTGATCGCTACTAGATCCTCTCTCTGCTTCCTGAGCTTTGTCATACCTCGTCTTAAAGCTATGTATGGTTCCTGCCTCCGTTACATCACTTGCTAGGCTATTCCACTTCCTGACGACTCTATGACTGAAGAAATACTTCCTAACATCCCTCTGACTCGTCTGAGTCTTCAGCTTCCAATAGTGACCCCTTGTTACTGTGTCCCCTCTCTGGAACAACCTGTCTCTGTACACCTTATCCATTCCACGCAGTATTTTGTATGTCGTTATCATGTCTCCCCTGAACCTCCTGTCTTCCAATGTCGTCAGTCCGATTTCCCTCAACCTTTCTTCGTAGGACATACCCCTGAGCTCCGGAACTAGCCTTATTGCAAACCTTTGCACTTTCTCTAATTTCTTGACGTGCTTGACCAGGTGTGGGTTCCAAACTGGTGCTGCATACTCCAGTATGGGCCTGATGTACACAGTGTACAGTGTCTTGAACGATTCCTTACTAAGGTATCGGAACGCTATTCTCAGGTTTGCCAGGCGTCCATATGCTGCAGCAGTTATCTGGTTGATGTGTGCCTCCGGAGACATGCTTGGTGTTATGGTCACCCCAAGATCTTTCTCCTTGAGTGAGGTTTGCAGTCTTTGGCCACCTAGCCTATACTCTGTCTGCGGTCTTCTTTGCCCTTCTCCGATCTTCATGACTTTGCATTGGGCAGGGTTGAATTCAAGAAGCCAGTTGCTGGACCACGTGTCCAGCCTGTCCAGGTCTCTTTGAAGTCCTGCCTGATCCTCATCTGATTTAATTCTCCTCATTAACTTCACATCATCTGCGAACAGGGACACCTCTCCATCATGTCATTCACACATATACCAAAAATAGCACTGGTCCTAGGACCCACCCCTGTGGGACCCCGGTCGTCACAGGTGCCCACTGTGATACCTCATCCCGTACCATGACTCGTTGTTGCTTCCCTGTCAGGTATTCTCTGATCAATTGCAGTGTCCTTCCTGTTATATGCGCCTGATCCTCTAGTTTCTGCACTAGTCTCTTGTGAGGAACTGTGTCGAAGGCCTTCTTGCAGTGCAAGAAAATGCAATCAACCCACCCCTCTCGTGTCTTACTTCTGTAACTTTGTCATAAAACTCCAGAAGGTTTGTAACACAGGATTTGCCTTCCATGAATCCGTGCTGGTTGTCATTTATAATCTTGTTCCGTTCCAGGTGCTCCACTACTCTCCTCCTGATAATCTTCACCATGACTTCGCATACTATACACGTCAGTGACACTGGTCTGTAATTTAGTGCCTCTTTTCTGTCTCGTTTTTTTTAAAAATGGGAACTACATTTGCGATCTTCCATACCTCAGGTAGTTGCCCAGCAAGGGATATGTTGAAGATTGTGGTTAATGGCACACACAGTATACGTGCTCCCTCCCTGAGGACCCACGGGGAGATGTTTTCCGGTCCCATTGCCTTTGAGGTATCAAGGTCACTTAGCAGCTTCTTCACCTCCTCCTCAGTTGTGTGCATATCATCCAGCACTTGTTGGTCTATTCCCTGTTGGTGTCCCCCTCTGTCCTGTCTTCCCAGAGTCCTTCCTGTCTCCCAGAGTCCTTCCTTAAATCTCGTGTTGAGCTCCTCGCATACCTCTTGGTCGTTTCTTATGAGTTCCCCACCTTCTTTCCTCAGCCTGATCACCTGGTCTTTGACTGTTGTCTTTCTCCTAATGTGGCTAAACAGCAGTTTCGGCTCAGACTTGACTTTCGATGCTATGTCATTTTCGTACTGTCGCTGGGCCTTCCTCCTTATCTGTGCATATTCGTTTCTGGCTCTTCGACTGATCTTTTTCCTGGGTCCTTTGCCTTCTATACCACTTCCATTCTCTAATGCACTTAGTTTTTGCCTCCCTGCACCTCCGGGTAAACCAAGGACTCGCTTTGGTCTTCCCATTGTTTCTGTTGCCCTTGAGAACAAACCTTTCCTCTGCCTCCTTGCATTTTGTTGTTACATATTCCATCATTTCATTTACTGACTTTCCTACCATTTTTCTGTCCCACTGCACCTCCCGCAATGTGTGTGTGTGAGTGTGTGTGTGTGTGTGTGAGAGAGAGAGAGAGAGAGAGAGAGAGAGTTGTTGCGGCCACTTGAAGGAGAAATATCCTTCAAGTGGCCGCAACAACTTTACATAATGAGAACCATTGTAACATATGCCTATCTCTCAGAGTCTAGCGGCTGGGTTGGCACTGCCGTCGTTGGGTTACCTCTGCGGAATGGCACTAGCATCCATGCTGCGACTGCCTCGACGGGACACGATAGCCATCAGCATAGAGACGGGCATCCAGAATCTGGGCGTGGCCATCGTCATCCTCAGAATCACCCTGGAGAAACCAGCCGGAGACCTGACGTCAGGTAATAATTCTCTCTCTCTCTCTCTCTCTCTCTTCTCTCTCTCTCTCTCTCTCTCTCTCTCTCTCTCTAAGAAAATAAGGAAATAAGTCACTCTGACTTTTTTGGGTTATCCTAGGTTCACTACACATATGCTGCTATATATGATAATTCTATGTAACTGTATTTGTGTATACCTGAATAAACTTACTAACTCTAAGGAACGCAAAATATGCTCCATTTTCTGTCTGCCATTCAACTTGCGTTCATCCCATACAATAAATGTGGTCTTTAATGCCGTTGTTGACCCCAATACAACAGGTGTGGACTTCACGGTAACCCTGTTGTTAGCCACTCAACATGTGTTATTGACCCCCAGACAACAGGTGTGAAATAAGTCACCTTGGCTTTTTTGGGTTATCTTAGGTTCTCTACACATATGCTACTACGTATGATAATCTATGTAACTGCATTTGTGTATACCTGAATAAACTTACTGTTCACGGTAACACTGTTGTTGAACCCAACACAACAGATGTGATCTTCACAGTAACACTGTTGACAACACAACAGGTGTGTGATCTTCACGGTAACACTGTTGACAAAACAGGTGTGTGATCTTCACAGTAGCACTGCTGACAACACAACAAATATGATCCTCACAGTAACACTGTTGTACGTGTGTTCCAGCGTTACCAGCTGCTGTTGTGGTGATGACTCCTCTACCCCTGCTGACAGCCCTCATCATCTACCGCATCTACCTCTGCTGCCACTCCGACAAGCCTCAGCTGAACCTCACTTTCAGCCCACGGTCCAGTACACTCCCACACCCGGTCAGTATTTAAGATAAGATTTTGTTCGGATTTTTAACCAGGAAGGTTAGCTATCCAGGATAACCCAGGAAAGTCAGTACGTCGTCAAGGACTGTCTGTCTTATTGCCATTGTGGCCCTTCAATCTTGTCCTCCAGGATGCGACCCACACCGGTCAACTAACACTCAGGTACCTACTTGCTAGGTGAACGGGGACAGCAGGCGTAAAGAAACATGCCCAGCGTTTCCACCCTTGAGGAAATGGTATGGTGATACCGACAAGATGTGGAAAAAGACACTTATGTACAGTTCAGGACATTTATTAAAGGAAACGTTTCGCCACGAGTGGCTTCTTCAGTCCTATACAGAGGGGAAAACTAAGAAACAACATATTAATAGTGGTGGGACAGTCAGGTGAGGTGAAGCGTGGGTAGAGCGAGGTGGTAATAGTCAGTAGTAGAGTTAGTAATGGAAATTAAGGAGGTGAGGTTAGAGAGGGACTGTGGCATCAAGTAACACAGTTCCCAGGATGGGTAATATCCTCTTGCCTTAGTATTTTGAAATACTGTAACTACGGATTTTTGCTTTAAGTGTTTACTGACAGAAAATTAGTGACAGCTTCAAATGGCATTTTTCTCCGCCCCCTTAAGTCGTCTTCTTTATAACTAGTTTAGCTTCATTGAATTTCATGAGGTGTCCAAACATGTCTTATGTTGAACACATGCGTTTTTGCGGTCATCATTTCTGCAAGCAGGGGGGGATCCGCCCAGTTCGCGAAGAAGAATGTACATACATCACCAAATATTTTAGTTCACTGACACTTTCCCCTTACAACTTCATACGTGACTGTAGGAAATCGTGCAACACGTATCTCAGCAAGACAACACCTATCAAATTGAAGACAAAGCCTCCAAGTTACTTCGTTTTTACGGTCCAGACACGTTGCCCACTATGTTGCAAAAATGTTTGACAGAAAACTGGCTAAATATCTACCAGCTCTTCAACTTACTATTGGAACCTGATCACAAAAACCCAAGCATGATTCTGGCACAAGTGCAGGATCTACACTATACCATGTGGGGGGGTGTGACTTGTGACAAAGTATATGTAGGGGAAACAGCAGAATCTGGGACATTAGACATCACAGAACACAAATTGCTTTGCAGAAATGATAGACCGCAAAAAACAAAACTAAAAAAAAAAACGCATGTGTTCAACCATAAGAGACGATGTTGGACACACCTCATGCAATTCAATGAAGCTAAACTTTAAGATTATTAAAGAAGGACGATTAAGACGGAGAAAATGCATATTGAAAGCTGCACTTATTTCTGTCTGTAACACTATAAAGCAAAATCCGGTAGTTACAGTATTTCAAATTTACTTAGCAAGAGGATATTACCCACTCCTGGGAAAACTGGAGTTACTTGATGGCAAAGCAGGGTCCCTCTCTAACCTCACCTCCTTGTTCCATTACTACTACTACTACTATTACCACCTCTACCCACGCTTCACCTCACCTGACTCCCACCACTATATATATGTGTGTTTTCTTAGTTTTCTCTGTATTAGGACTGTACAGAAAGAAGCCCACTCGTGGCGGAACGTTTCCTTTAATAAATGTCCTGCTTGAAACTGTACATAAGTGTCTTTTTCCACACGTTTCCAACTCCCTATTGTTCTCAGGCAAGAGGTGGGGCCAAGAAATGGAGCTCACCCCTTTCCTTCTCGTTCCCATAATAACTCAAATGGTTAATTAGCTAATGCCAGGATTGATAATTACACACACACGAACGCACATACCACAAATTGGCATATACAAAGGGAAGGTACAAATATAAAATTAGTTTCAAACCTATTTTGCAGAAGGCAGAAGAGGAGTAAACCAGACAGAGAGCAAGAAGAAGGAGGGAGAGCCAGTGTGCTGAACCACCAAGCAAAAAACACATCAGGAGGGAGTGGAAAACCCCAGCGTATTGATCTGAAGGAGGAACTGTCTGAGCTTCCTGCCAGAGGAAATAGTGGAGGAGGTTCTCCTGCAGGAGGATCATCATGATGTTTGCTGGCACCTGCTAATGCGAATTAAAATTCTGTCTAATGTTATAAATATATATATATATATATATATATATTATATAATATATATATTTATATATATATATATATATATATATATATTATATAAATATATATATATATGCAATAAGATTCACAGTAACAGGTGATTTCAGTATATGCAAAAACAAACCACTCTGAAAGAATAGAGAAATTCAAGCAAGTCCCATGGTCGACAGAATATAATTGGATCTTGTTCATAAAAAGCAGTTTTGACATAATAATATGAATATTTCCTTTCGTTTATATAATTGATCCATTTATAATTAATAGAATTTGGGAAAGAAGAATTTAATAATACATTGGACAAATAATAATTTTAAAAATTTTCTTGGGTTTATAGAATAGTTTGTTGGTGGGATTGTGCAAAGGACCTGTCCAGTTGGAGACCGGCGCCGAGTCAGGTTGTTTAACCGTGTGGTATCTGATAATGAGGTGTTGGCCCAGACCCCTTAAAGTTATACCTTCCTTGGATGCTTTACTTTTCATGGTTCCTTGATAATGTGAATGTCACGAAAGCATTGGAATTTCTCTATTTTTCGAGTGGTTTTTTGCATATTCTGAAACCCCGTTTACTGTGATCTTATTGTATTATTATTTTAATATATATATTTATATATATATTATATATATTATTTTATATAATAATTATATATAAAAATTATATATATTATATATTTTATATATATAGTATAAACCTTTGGGAAAAAAAAACCCGAAAAAGTTGGTTTAGAAAGACAGTAAGAAAAACACTAAACATTTTTATTAGAAAACTTTTCGGTCCTGGGACCTTGATCCTTCAAACATACGAGGAAAAAAAGGGACATTAATATATAGGTGGGAGTGATTTGGACCCCGTCCCTGGGGAAATGTCATAAGAACATAAAATGGAAACACTGTAGAAGGCCTCTGGCCCATGCGAGGAGGTCCTTTTAAAAAACAACCTTACCAGAGAGGATGGGTAGCATGAAATCATGTGCTCCTGTTTTTTTGGGGTTGGGGTGCGCTAAGTATAAGTGGGGGGCAAATTTTTTTTTAAAATTTTGTATTTTCCCTTGTGCTTTATAGTGTCGGTGACGGGATTAGTGAGGGTTCTGGGGCCCCCGTCGGGTCTGGGGTTTGGTTTAAGAAAAAAGAAGACATAAGAAGAAGGAACACTGCAGGGGCCTACGGGCCCATGCGAGGCGGTCCAAGTCTCCTACCGGTTTTAAGCCAATGCACCCAACTAGTCAGGTCAGGTCAATTGACTTAAGGGAAGGGAAAACGGCAAAAGGGCCCCGGGGGCACAGCTTCAGGTCTAACTCACACCCCCCCCAATTCTCATGTATTTTTTCCAACCTATTTTAAAAGCTAAACCCAAAGTTCTGGGCCCCTATAAAGGTACTTGGGGTTTGTTCCACTCATCCCAACTCTATTCCAAACCAGTACTTTCCTATTTCCTTCCTGAATCTAATTTTTCCAACTTAAAAAAACCCTTGCTGCGAGTCCTGTCTAGGGTAGATATTTTCAGCACACTATTTACCCCCTTTTTTTTTCCGTCTTCCATTTTAACCTCAATTTTATCCCCCCTAATTCTACGTTTTCTAGAAAATGCGATTCGGGCCCCTTTGTCTATCCTTTAGGGAAGGGTTTCTGATACATGGGGCACTTTGTTCCCCCCTTTGTAATTTTTCCCGAGAATTTTTAAACCATTCTGTAAAAGGTGACCAAAAATGTGCCAAAATCTAAATGAGGCCTAACCAAGGGTTATAGATTGAAAACAACCTGAGGACTTATTATTTTTGCTTCTTTTCTATGAAAACCAAGGATTCATTTTTATTGCGAACACTTATGCACTGTGTTTTGGGGGTTCAGATTTCTGCTAACCGAAACCCTCTAAATCTTTTTTCGCATCCGTAATATTAAGTCTACATTATTTATTTATATGTGGCATGGTTATTGTCCCCGTCCAAAATTTTGAAATTTTCTTTTTTCTATATTAACCTGCTGCCCTTTTCCGACCACTGCATCAGTCTTTCAAATTTCCTGGAGTGTTTGAATGGGCCTCGCAGAATGAATTCGACGGCCATTTTTGGTGTTTATCGGCAAACTTGCCGATGTCGCTCTTTATGCCCCCATCTATCGTTTTGTAGGGTTATAAAGTAAGGAAAACACTCTTATATGGATGTGAAGCTTGGGGGGTAAATGCAGCAGCGAGGAACGGTTGGAGGCTTGGAGATGCCTGTCAAAGGGGCAATGTGGGTTTGTAAATATTATGCAGAAAAATTGGGAAATTGTGGAAATTAGGAGAAGGTGTGGAGTTAATAAAAGCATTATAAGGGCAGAAGGGGGGGTTTTGTTGGGGTTGGTTTGGTCATTTAGAGAGAATGGATCAAAGTAGAATGACATGGAAAGCATATAAATCTATAGGGGAGGAAAGAGGGGTAGGGGGTCGTCCCGAAAGGGTTGGAAAGAGGGGGTAAAAGGAGGTTTTGGGGTGAGGGGCTTGGATTTTCCAGCAAGCGTGCATGAGCGTGTTAGATGGGAGTGAATGGGGGACGAATGATACTTGGGACCTGACGATCTGTTGGAGTGTAAAGCAGGGTAATATTTAAGTGAAGGGTTTCAGGGAAACCGGTTTTTTTCATATATGTCGGACTTGAGTCCTGGAAAGGGGAAGTACAGTGCCGCACTTTAAAGGAGGGGTTTGGGATATTGGCAGTTTGGAGGGATATGTTGTGTATTCTATATACGTATATGCTTCTAAACTGTTTGTATCTGAGCACCCTGCAAAAGCAGTGATAATGTGTGAGTGGGGTTTGAAAGTGTTGAATGATGATGAAAGTATTTTCTTTTTGGGGATTTTCTTTCTTTTTTTTGGTCACCCTGCCTCGGTGGGAAAACGGCCGACTTGTTGAAAAAAAAAAAAAAAAATTTTATATATATATATATATATTTTAATAATATATTATATATATATATATATAATATATATATATATATGTATTTTATATTATATATATATATATATAATATTATATATATATATATATAAAAAAATATATATATATTATTTTTATGGATAATATTTAAAATATTTTTATACAAGAAGTTATATTATTATTTACCTCGAGTTATTCACTAACATTATGTGTGTGAACGGACCTTACGGGTCTAGTTCTTTCACGAGTGGAAAAAATAATCGCAGCTCTAAAATTTTCAGTTTCTCATCATAATGATCTTTTTTTTTATTACAAATTCTGCTGGCTGACTGACTTTAGGGGTTTGAATCCAATCTACTACGCTAGGGTCAGTAAGACCGCTGATAACCTACTAATCAACGGTCAAGAAAAAATTAATCAATAAAAAAAGGATCAAGGTATACATTGCTTACATACTGACACATACACATACACTTCTCTGTGTATATATGCAATTTACATTCTTACCAAATTTCTATATATAATTATTTTTTTATTTCATCACCAATGGAAGAGGACCAAGTTGTGGAATATACAAATATATATATTATATATATATATTATATATATATATATATTATAATATTATATATTAATATATATAATATATATATATATATATTTTTTTTATTCCTATTATCACACCGGCCGATTCCCACCAAGGCAGGGTGGCCCGAAAAGAAAAACTTTCACCATCATTCGCTCCATCACTGTCTTGCCAGAAGGGTGCTTTACACTACAGTTTTTAAACTGCAACATTAACACCCCTCCTTCAGAGTGCATTCACCTGTACTTCCATCTCCAGGACTCAGTCCGGCCTGCCGGTTTCCTGAATCCTTCATAAATGTTACTTTGCTCACACTCCAACAGCAGTCAAGTATTAAAAACCATTTGTCTCCATTCACTCCTATCAAACCGCTCACGCATGCCTGCTGGAAGTCCAAGCCCCTCGCACACAAAACCTCTTTACCCCCTCCCTCAACCCTTCCTAGGCCGACCCTACCCCGCCTTCCTTCCACTACAGACTGATACACTCTTGAAGTCATTCTGTTTCGCTCCATTCTCTCTACATGTCCGAACCACCTCAACAACCCTTCCTCAGCCCTCTGGACAACAGTTTTGGTAATTCCCGCACCTCCTCCTAACTTCCAAACTACGAATTCTCTGCATTATATTCACACCACACATTGCCCTCAGACATGACATCTCCACTGCCTCCAGCCTTCTCCTCGCTGCAACATTCATCACCCACGCTTCACACCCATTAAGAGCGTTGGTAAAACTATACTCTCATACATTCCCCTCTTTGCCTCCAAGGACAAAGTTCTTTGTCTCCACAGACTCCTAAGTGCAACCACTCACTCTTTTTCCCTCATCAATTCTATATATATATATATATAATATATATATATATATATATATATATATATATAGAAACCAAGGACCACAGGGCGATCAGCTTCCTCTTTCAGAGACTCAGTGTTGCGATCCAGAGAGTAAATGCCTGCAGCATTCTGGGCACGCGGCCCCACCGCAGGGGAGCTGGACGAAGTATTCGAGATGTAGCTCTGAGTTACCTATGTTGTTTTACTTTCTGTTGTATTTTGTGAATGTTTGGGCCAATGTATTTTGTCTTTAAATAAAACATACTTGAAATATAGGGGGTGGTAGGAGAAAATTCTCAAACAGCTTTCAGGGGAACCTTGAGTTTTCCCTGAAGCAAGTTTATTCTTTTCTCTGAGGATGAGGTCCCCATGACAGTTCTAGAGGTGGTACCTCCTATATTTATATATATATATATATATATATATATATATATATATATATATATTTATATATATATATATATATATACTTAACAATTCGCAAACAAGCGAAGTTATTTACAAACATTGTCTCTACGTCCACAGCAGGACTCGAACTTGCTAATCAGGTTCGAGTCCTGCTGTGGACGTACAGACACTTTAAGGAGGGGTTTAGGATATTGGCAGTTTGGAGGGATATGTTGTGTATCTTTATACGTATATACTTCTAAACTGTTGTGTTCTGAGCACCTCTGCAAAAACAGTGATTATGTGTGAGTGAGGTGAAAGTGTTGAATGATGAAATTATTTTCTTTTGGGGAATTTTCTTTCTTTTTGGGTCACCCTGCCTCGGTGGGAGACGGCCGACTTGTTAAATATTATATATATATATATATATATATATATATATATATATATATATATATATTATATATATATATTATTGTGTGTGTGTGTGTGTGTGGTGTGTGTGTGTGTGTGTGTGATGTGTGTGTGTGTGTGTGTGTGTGTGTGTGTGTGTGTGTGTGTGTGTGTAATATGTTATTGTACCCACGAAACGAGTGGTATTGATCAATAACAACACTGCACTAGCCAAGGAGTCGAACCTCTTGGCTAGTGGTGTTGTTATTGAGATTACTAGTCCCGCAGCTTAGGGGTATGCCCTACTAGGAGAGGTTAAAGGAAATCAACCTGATGACACTAAAGGACAGGAGAGATAGGGAAAACGTGATAACGACATATAAAATACTGAGAGGAATTGACAAGGTGGATAGGGACAGAATGTTTCAAGAGATGTGACAGCAACAAGGGGTCACAAGTGGACGATGAAAACTCGGATGAGTCACAGGGATGTTAGGAAGCATTTTTTCAGTCATAAAATTGTCAGGAAGTGAAATAATCTGGAGAGTGATGTAGTGGAGGCAGGATCCATACATAGCTTTAAGAAGAGGATCGATAAAGCTCATGGAGCTCCAGGAGCAGTGGACCTAGTAGCGACCGAGGAAGAGGCGGGGCTAGGAACTATGACTCGGCCCCTTCAACCACATATAGGTGAATACACACACAGGAGACAGGAGCTGTAACTCGACCCCTGTAACCACATATAGGTGAGCACGTATACACAGGAGCCATGAGGGCAGGAGCTACGACTCAACCCCTGTAACCACAAATAGGTGAGTACACACACCTGTTTGCTTTTCACCAGGGACAGAACACATGCTTACAAACAAGTAATGTATTATGCAAGATTTTTGTACTTTGTGATGTGCATGTGTGGTACACGTGATACTATGTGCTGACTTGGAAAGTGCTACCCTGCACCACCCCACACCTCCCAGCTATCTCTCCTCCAGTCATGATCAACTAGTGTGCTCCACCTACCCTCCGATAATTATATACAACACACGTGTGTGGCAATGTTTTAGCTCAGCCACAGTTTTCTGAGAGAAAGTTTTGGCCACAGACGAAAACCCAGACATAAGGCGTTGCAATAGAGCAATGCGTTAAACTGTGGCCAAAATAGTGGTTAGTGCATGATAAAGTGGGTATCACGGTAGGGCGGGGGTGCACGATCGTTTAGGTATGGGAGGGGCGGTGGAGAGGAGAACCATGGAGGGACACACTACTGGCCCAGCACACGCCTGTGGGGTTACTCACCAGTATATATTCACTCTCACCACTCCCTCCCTCATCATTCTCGTGCTACCCACTTACTGCGCTACTCATGGCTAACACCAGCTGAAATTCTTTCACTAGGCTTTAGTTACCGTCGTGTTGCTGTTTCTTAATCTCAATATAACTAGTGTTGTGTTTGTGTTAGTGAGCAGTGATGACGGGTCGAGTGCAGAAGGTGCTGCTGCTGGACGGTATTGATGCTGTGTGTGCACAAGTACTGACGCAGGCCGGCATAGCTGTCACCACACACAACAAACTCACCAAACAACAACTTCTCAAGGAAATTGCGGTAAATTGAAGCCTGGTAATTACCTGTCATAGCCCCCATATCACTTCACTTGCGAAGCATTGTTTACTCTCGTGTCGTTATGATGTCAAGAGATAGTCCAGCCATATCAGTGGTTTACAGTAATGTGCTAGCACCCAGATACTTCATTACTGTTAGATGAACAAGTGCAACATTTCCACTCGCACAGTGAGGGACCAGGGATCGATCCCCGGAAAGGGTGAAACGTTGGACTTGTTTCCTCACACCTGCTTTCCCAGTTCACCTAGCAGTAAGTTGGTACCCTGGTGTTAGTAGAAGATTGTGGGTCACATCCTGGGGGACAAATTAACCTAAGTTGCCCGAAATGTGCCGCACAACTAACCCCTCAAGGAAGGTTCCTTGATGTTGGTGAGGGGCTCTTGATTTAGGGAATTTGATCTGTGCTTCAGTTCCCCGAATTAAGCCTGAATGCCTTCCACATCCCCCCAGGCGCTGTATAATCCTCCGTGTTTAGCGCTTCCCTCTTGATTATAATAATCCGCACAACTAGGGACTTTCTATATGGTATGCCAGTGATGTCAGCTAGGTCCGTGTCAGTTGTATTATGTGCTTGTGGAAATGGAAAAAAATATGTTTTGTATATCTATGAATATGGGAGTAATGCAGATTTATTGTAGCCTCATCATTTTCAAACTACAGTATATGCCTAAGAATACATGCACTAGCCTAGCGACAACCAGCCTAGTTGTAGCAATCAACACTCACTAAATTAGGAAGATCTTCGACAGATAGGCTATGGTGATGTGGAGGAGAATGAGAAGAGTAATGGGAGTTCATGAGGAAAGGCTGAATGTAAGTGGAACTGCTAGTTAAGAAGAGTGAAGAGGAGGAAATTGCTCTCCATTTCCCAGGCTTGAATCGGATTACCCTTCCCTTTCCTCAGACTCTGTATTACCCTTCTGGGTTCAGCGCTTCCCACTAAATGTAATAATATGAGAGGGGAGGTGGGTGTGGGATTTACGGAGCTGGGGGAGAGGGAGGGAGGTTGTTGATTGCTGGGGGGAAGCGGATACTCCAGTTACGTGTTGGTGGGGAGAGGTGTTTTGATGGAGTGGCTGATATACCCTCACACTTACTGTAGCATGGAGCGTCCTCTCCTCGGGGGAGAGTTTATTCATATTTTGTGAAAAGTCGGACAGCCACATCAGCAACGCAGGATAATCACCTGTTGACCTGGCTTTAGCAATACCCCAGGTAGGGGTATTGAGGGGTCATTAAACCCTCTGCTGGGGAGCTTATTCTCGATCTTATGATAGGCAACACCTGCCTCTCCGTGTTCACACTGAGCTGGGGAGCCCAGCACACATTTAGTTTGGTATACATCATCTGTCGTCGGCGATTTAATGCTTACCAGCCTATAGTATAGGACCTACACTGACCCAAACACTGACCAGGACAATGATAAATTTCCCGTTGAACATAAAACAGTTTTTTAAACCAGAGTACACCCCAACAACACATCACTTACTCTGGCCTGGATTCCAACACACTTAACATGTCAAACCTTTCAGGGGCTCTTGCTCCGAGGACTTGGAGCTTTTCTTCCTCGATCATACCAGATTTTCCTCCCGGACGCTGTATCACTCTGCAGATCTCTCTTGCAAATGAATACAATTTTTTCGGAGGTTTCAGTTGTAATTTTTAGTTAAAAAGGTTTTTTTAATTAAAATCAATAACTGTTATCCATATTTATAAAATATGATAATCATTCTAGGATATATAATCATTCTAAGACTTATGACAATCATTCTAGGACTTTATAAGTTGAGCGTATTTATTAAGCGACATGCAAACTTATAAACTATCTTGTAATCGATAGGCTTGAAACCTAATAATTTATTTATAAAATATATGAAATGACCTGGAAGGTTGTGGTGGCCTTTAACAGGCCAGGGATGTGATATGCCCCCCTGTGGCCTGGATGGGGGTGAGGACCCTACTCCCAGCAGGCCTGGTTAGAGGTTTGACCCCCCCCCCCTCCCAAGTTTAGTTGGGGTGCGGCCTCCCAGCATTCATGAGTAGATACACAAATAACCCGCACATAAAAGACAGAAGCTTACGACGACGTTTCGGTCCGACTTGGACCATTGACAAAGTCACACTAACAGAGGAGGAGCAGAACGGCTATATATAGGCAGGAAGAGGTGGAGGTAGTAGTAGTGGTAGAAGTAGTTAGTAGTAGTAGTACAAGAATTGTATATAATACCGACAGGATGAAATGACACATGCACAACACCCGGGCATCCCCACCGTAGACGTTTCGCCATCCAGCCAGCCACTGGATGGCGAAACGTCCACAACAAAGACAACCAGACGCCGCACATGTGTCTAATTTCATCAGTATTAGACACATGTGCGGCGTCTGGTTGTCTTTGTTGTGGACGTTTCGCCATCCAGTGGCTGGCTGGATGGCGAAACGTCTACGGTGGGGATGCCCGGGTGTTGTGCATGTGTCATTTCATCCTGTCGGTATTATATACAATTCTTGTACTACTACTACTACTACTTCTACCACTACTACTACCTCCACCTCTTCCTGCCTATATATAGCCGTTCTGCTCCTCCTCTGTTAGTGTGACTTTGTCAATGGTCCAAGTCGGACCGAAACGTCGTCGTAAGCTTCTGTCTTTTATGTGCGGGTTATTTGTGTATCGTTCCAGTCACGGTATTGTGCCTTTTTGTTATTTATTCATGAGTAGATGTGAGGCAAACCAGGTGGTGGTTACGACCTCCCGGAATGCCTATGTATTAGTAGTAGGAAGAAGAAAACCAACACAGATCGTTACCACAATATAACTGGTTCAGTGGTACTGCGGAAACACTGTCTGAGGACACTTGAAGGTAAATTTAACTTACTAGCGCAACCACGATAACAGGGGGCGTGACAAAAAGGGCCACGATAACATGGGCCATGACAAGGGCCATGGTAACGGGCCATGACAAGGGCCACGGTAACAGGGGCCATGACAAGGGCCACGGTAACGGGCCATGACAAGGGCCACGGTAACAGGGGCCATGACAAGGACCACGATAACGGGCCATGACAAGGACCACGATAACAGGGGCCATGACAAGGACCACGATAACAGGGGCCATGACAAGGACCACGATAACAGGGGCCATGACAAGGACCACGATAACAGGGGCCATGACAAGGACCACGATAACAGGGGCCATGACAAGGACCACGATAACAGGGGCCATGACAAGGACCACGATAACAGGGGCCATGACAACAAGGACCACGAAAAACAGGGCCATGACAACAAGGACCACGATAACAGGGGCCATGACAACAAGGACCACGATAACAGGGGCCATGACAACAAGGACCACGATAACAGGGGCCATGACAACAAGGACCACGATAACAGGGGCCATGATAAGGACCACGATAACAGGGGCCATGACAACAAGGACCACGATAACGGGCATAACAAGGGCCACGGTAACGGGCCATGACAAGGGCCACGGTAACGGGCCATGACAAGGGCCACGGTAACGGGCCATGACAAGGGCCACGGTAACGGGCCATGACAAGGGCCACGGTAACGGGCCATGACAAGGGCCACAGTAACAGGGGCCATGACAAGGACCACGGTAACGGGCCATGACAAGGGCCACGGTAACGGGCCATGACAAGGGCCACGGTAACAGGGGCCATGACAAGGGCCACGGTAACAGGGGCCACGGTAACGGGCCATGACAAGGGCCACGGTAACGGGCCATGACAAGGGCCACGGTAACGGGCCATGACAAGGGCCACGGTAACGGGCCATGACAAGGGCCACGGTAACGGGCCATGACAAGGGCCACGGTAACAGGGGCCATGACAAGGGCCACGGTAACGGGCCATGACAAGGGCCACGGTAACAGGGGCCATGACACAAGGGCCACGGTAACAGGGGCCATGACAAGGGCCACGGTAACAGGGGCCATGACAACAAGGGCCACGGTAACAGGGGCCATGACAACAAGGGCCACGGTAACAGGGGCCATGACAACAAGGGCCACGGTAACAGGGGCCATGACAACAAGGGCCACGGTAACAGGGGCCATGACAACAAGGGCCACAGTAACAGTGGCCATGACAACAAGGGCCACGGTAACAGGGGCCGTGACAAGGGCCACGGTAACAGGGGCCATGACAACAAGGGCCACGGTAACAGGGGCCATGACAACAAGGGCCACGGTAACAGGGGCCCTGACAACAAGGGCCACGGTAACAGGGGCCGTGACAACAAGGGCCACGGTAACAGGGGCCCTGACAACAAGGGCCACGGTAACAGGGGCCCTGACAACAAGGGCCACGGTAACAGGGGCCCTGACAACAAGGGCCACGGTAACAGGGGCCCTGACAACAAGGGCCACGGTAACAGGGGCCCTGACAACAAGGGCCACGGTAACAGGGGCCGTGACAACAAGGGCCACGGTAACAGGGGCCGTGACAAAAAGGGCCACGGTAACAGGGGCCGTGACAACAAGGGCCACGGTAACAGGGGCCGTGACAACAAGGGCCACGATAACAGGGGCCACGACAACAAGGGCCACGGTAACAGGGGCCGTGACAAGGGCCACGGTAACAGGGGCCGTGACAACAAGGGCCACGGTAACAGGGGCCGTGACAACAAGGGCCACGGTAACAGGGGCCGTGACAAAAAGGGCCACGGTAACAGGGGCCGTGACAACAAGGGCCACGGTAACAGGGGCCGTGACAACAAGGGCCACGGTAACAGGGGCCGTGACAACAAGGGCCACGATAACAGGGGCACGACAACAAGGGCCACGGTAACAGGGGCCGTGACAAGGGCCACGGTAACAGGGGCCGTGACAACAAGGGCCACGGTAACAGGGGCCCTGACAACAAGGGCCACGGTAACAGGGGCCCTGACAACAAGGGCCACGGTAACAGGGGCCCTGACAAGGGCCACTGTAACGGGCCCTGACAACAAGGGCCACGGTAACAGGGGCCCTGACAACAAGGGCCACGGTAACAGGGGCCCTGACAACAAGGGCCACGGTAACAGGGGCCCTGACAACAAGGGCCACGGTAACAGGGGCCCTGACAACAAGGGCCACGGTAACAGGGGCCCTGACAACAAGGGCCACGGTAACAGGGGCCGTGACAACAAGGGCCACGGTAACAGGGGCCGTGACAACAAGGGCCACGATAACAGGGGCCCTGACAACAAGGGCCACGATAACAGGGGCCCTGACAACAAGGGCCACGGTAACAGGGGCCACGACAACAAGGGCCACGGTGACGGACCACGACAACAAGGTTCACGGTAACAGGGGCCACGACAGCAAGGGTCACAACAATAGGGGCCACGACAGCAAGGGTCACAATAGGGGCCACGACAGCAAGGGTCACAACAATAGGGGCCACGACAGCAAGGGTCACAACAATAGGGGCCACAGAGTTAGGTCTGATTGCTGGTGACTTCTCGTGTCCTCATGCACACTACGTGCCAGACGGGCGGGTTACCCGCATCGCGGGGAAAACCGGTCTAAGTAACATTTTAGCAACTAGACAAGACTCGTGTGTTCCTCTCCTCCTTGCACTTTCTCTCTCTCGTTTCTTGGGATCTCGCCCTTCTTGTCTCCGTGTGTGTTGTTCCTTTCTTCATACATCTAAATATGTTGTCTTGCTCGAGTACAAGCGTGATATTAGCACTTTACTGATGTAAGTTCATGTAATTCCATCAACAATTGTTACCTTATGTGTTTGCATTTTGTATATGCTCTGTAATGCAATATTTAGAATTGGTCACACGGCCGCCATACTCTACAAGATTCAAGGTAATTCCAGCAATATCTTCATTGTTCTTATTACTGAAACTTGTTTCTCGTCTTAACATAGATGCTGCCAGGTTATGTAAAACTTTAAGTAATATTTGTGTTGCCTTAAAGTTTACAATATTTCAGTATTTTTCCCCATCCGTGTGTGCTACAGTGACTGTAACTAGAATTTTTCTTGTATCAAAGCTATGTATTACACAGCTAAGTTATAAATTGGAGATAAATCTTTAGACAACGTTCGGTCTCATCGTGAGCCATTGGAACTTGATAATTACTATTTTAGGACGGACCGAAACGTTGTCCAAGACTTTCGGTTAATTTGCGAGTTGTTCCAGCCAAGGTATTATGACTTTTATGTATGACAACTGTTTGCTTGTTGGCTCAGGACTATGACGGAGTGGTGGTGCGCTCGGCGACGAAGGTGACGTCGGAGGTCTTGGCTGCCAGTAAGCGTCTCCAGATCGTGGGAAGGGCTGGCACCGGCGTCGACAACATTGACGTACAAGCTGCCACTCGCCGCGGTGTCATCGTCATGAAGTGAGTCTACACCCCCTGCCATCCCCTATTCCTGTAACTAATTTATCCATCTCTCTCATTCCTGTTTCATATGACTTTTACTTTTCATCTTCCTCTCTCGCTACGTCTTCCTGGTTGGTTCTTTTCTTCATTGTTCTTCTGCCAGTCTTCTAGATAGCTCCGCCTAAAGTGATTCTGGCCTTTTTATTGGACCTCATGATTCTGACCCTATAATTGGTGCCCGATGATTCTGGCCCTATACCTGGTGCCCGTTGATTCTGGTCCCATAGTTGGTGCTGTAGATCACAGATCTGGTCAGAGGACTGTCATGGTGTCTTTCCGATGTGTGTCGATGGTGCCTCTCCTCTCCAACTCCAGCAAAAGTAACTGCTTCAGTGAGTCTACCCTTTGATTATGGGTCTGGTCCCGAGCGCCGAAGGCAGCTCCAGCTACTTCCTTCAGCCGACAGACGGCAGTCTAAGCCTAGAGATGGATACGTGGCTCTTCTCAAGCCCGGGAGACGTACCGGTAGGTTTCCTGAGACTGCCGCTGCCCCTGCCCACCTAGCAGTGAGAATGGGTGCCCGCGTGTTTGCTAACAGCTCTGCGTTGCATCCAGAGAAAATATTTGGAAAAGTTTAATTCTGCTGAAAGTTGCTTCCTGTGTGAGGAAACTTCAGTCCAGCTAGGATTCAAGTGCTAGGTAAAATGTATTCAACACAGTGAGGGATAGCTCGTGATTAACACCTGTAAGTCAGCGGTGGCGGCTGCCATGGTCCACCATGGGACCATCAGCTACCCTTCATTAATATCTTAAAGGCACACCATCTTGCCGCGTCCGACCTAGAGCCGGCACTGCTGAATGGGCCATCACGTGACAAAGACCAGCGTCAGATGTTACCCTGACCACTAAACTAACATCTGTGCTTATCTATCAGGGCAGGGGGTGGTGGTTCTGGACAGGCATAGTTGTTGGTGGGTAGGAAGGCAGAGGGGATGATCATTAGTTCAGTAGGATGGTGGGTGTAGGATAATGGTAATTATAGGTTAGGTAAAGTTTATCAGGAAACAGGACAAGTGTTTACAAACGCAGGTCTTAGTCACATGATGACCCGCAGCTGGAGCTTTCTGCCACCTGACAGAGGCCTTCGCTGGCTTACCAGTCTACTCCTTTAAATGACTGTAGGTATAGTATCTGTTAAGGAAGGAGGAAATTGATATGTTAGGGAGGGGGAAATTGATAGGGTGGGATGGGGGAATGGACATAGTTGGACATGGTCTACTGATTGGAATGGGTATTGTTGGAGTGAGGATGGGGAGTTCATCCTAGAGGTCATGACATAATTATCCCTTTAAGGTCGTATCCATTACTTTCTTACCTGGGAGACAGGTAACCGGTTTTAGTGTATTTTCGGCTCTGGCAGCCTAGTAACTTGCTTGGTATCTCTGTGGTCAAGTAAACTGTTGCCTCCCGCAAGCCTGTCCTGTAGGCTGGCTGATTCAGCATTTTCTTAAAACTTAAGTTTCATCCGTCAGTATTTGTTGACAACTTGTGGCAGTAAGTTGAAGAGTGATCACTATTGTTTGCAGTGTTCTCTCGCTGTGACGCTATTGTTTGCAGTGTTCTCTCGCTGTGACGCTATTGTTTGCAGTGTTCTCTCGCTGTGACGCTATTGTTTGCAGTCTCTCGCTGTGACGCTATTGTTTGCAGTGTTCTCGCTGTGACGCTATTGTTTGCAGTGTTCTCTCGCTGTGACGCTATAGTTTGCAGTGTTCTCGCTGTGACGCTATAGTTTTGCAGTGTTCTCTCGCTGTGACGCTATTGTTTGCAGTGTTCTCTCGCTGTGACGCTATTGTTTGCAGTCTCTCGCTGTGACGCTATAGTTTGCAGTGTTCTCTCGCTGTGACGCTATAGTTTGCAGTGTTCTCTCGCTGTGACGCTATTGTTTGCAGTGTTCTCTCGCTGTGACGCTATTGTTTGCAGTGTTCTCTCGCTGTGACGCTATTGTTTGCAGTGTTCTCTCGCTGTGACGCTATTGTTTGCAGTGTTCCCTCGCTGTGACGCTATTGTTTGCAGTGTTCTCTCGCTGTGACGCTATTGTTTGCAGTGTCCTCTGCCTTCGCTATTCAGTTTTCTTTAAATAAGTTAACATGGCCTGAACGCTTACCATCACACGACGCCGTACAACCCATACTGGTTTAGCGCTTATTGTTAGATATATTGCATTGAAAGGAAGCTCTAAACCCGTTTGGATCATGCAGCGCCTGGTGAACGAGAAGTAATCAGATGCGACACAATCCTCTCTTGGAGTCTGTGTGACTTCTACGGGTTTACAGCTTCCCAGTTAGTCTATTATTATTATTATTATTATTATAATAATAATAATAATAAACAGAATGCAGCCGTCTCTGTCGCGAATATTTAATATTTATATTCCATAAATTCTGTTATTGAAGGTAATTAATGTTATGAGAGCGTGAGCAGTTGTCAATGTAGGTCAAGGTGGGTGTTACATGGGGCGTCAGGTCAAGGTGGGTGTTACATGGGGCGTCAGGTCAAGGTGGGTATTACATGGGGCGTCAGGTCAAGGTGGGTGTTACATGGGGCGTCAGGTCAAGGTGGGTGTTACATGGGGCGTCAGGTCAAGGTGGGTGTTACATGGGGCGTCAGGTCAAGGTGGGTGTTACATGGGCTCAGGTCAAGGTGGTACATGGGGCGTCAGGTCAAGGTGGGTGTTACATGGGGCGTCAGGTCAAGGTGGGTGTTACATGGGGCGTCAGGTCAAGGTGGGTGTTACATGGGGCGTCAGATCAAGGTGGGTGTTACATGGGGCGTCAGATCAAGGTGGGTGTTACATGGGGCGTCAGGTCAAGGTGGGTGTTACATGGGGCGCCAGGTCAATGTGAGTGTTACATGGGGCGTCAGATCAAGGTGGGTGTTATATGGGGCGTCAGATCAAGGTGGGTGTTATATGGGGCGTCAGATCAAGATGGGTGTTACATGGGGCGCCAGGTCAAGGTGGGTGTTACATGGGACGCCAGGTCAAGGTGGGTGTTATATGGAAATAAATGGTATAAAATACCGACACAATGGAAATATAAACACAAATGCAGTATAATGTGATCCTTTATTGACAACGTTTCACCCATACAGTGGGCTTTTTCAAGTCACACACGGATCTACCTGGGGGTGGAAGGTACGAGAGTATTTATAGTCATGTTCAGAATGTTGAGGTCAGGTGGAGAATGCTGCATCTGATGATCTACCGAGTGGGGTTATAGAGTCTTGGGTAGCTTGGCAGGGGTATTGGACAAGTTGTAGACCTTCTGCAGTGTTCTATGTTCTTATGTGGGATAGCGATGAAGAAGTTTCTTGGCGAGTGGTTCAGCTATGTTATAGAAGCCATTGTTCTGGTTGAAATTGTTGGTTATAGAGATAAGCGATGATTCCAGGATTCTTCTGTATTGAGTGTTGTCTTCTGTGGCTATAAGTCTTGAGTTTCTGTAGTTAATTAAATGGTTGTGTGAATTAACTACAGAAACTCAAGACTTATAGCCACAGAAGACAACACTCAATACAGAAGAATCCTGGAATCATCGCTTATCTCTATAACCAACAATTTCAACCAGAACAATGGCTTCTATAACATAGCTGAACCACTCGCCAAGAAACTTCTTCATCGCTATCCCACATAAGAACATAGAACACTGCAGAAGGTCTACAACTTGTCCAATACCCCTGCCAAGCTACCCAAGACTCTATAACCCCACTCGGTAGATCATCAGATGCAGCATTCTCCACCTGACCTCAACATTCTGAACATGACTATAAATACTCTCGTACCTTCCAACCCCAGGTAGATCCGTGTGTGACTTGAAAAAGCCCACTGTGTGGGTGAAACGTTGTCAATAAAGGATCACATTATACTGCATTTGTGTTTATATTTCCATCCGTGGGTGTTATATGGGGGCGACAGATCAAGGTGGGTGTTATATGGGGCGTCAGATCAAGGTGGGTGTTAAGACACATGTGCAACATCTGGATATCTTTATTGTAGTAGACGTTTCGCCATCCAGTGGCTTTATCAATACAGATTCTAGGACATAATAGGAAGACAGTAGAACTATATAGTTCTACTGTCTTCCTATTATGTCCTAGAATCTGTATTGATAAAGCCACTGGATGGCGAAACGTCTACTACAATAAAGATATCCAGATGTTGCACATGTGTCTTAACTTTCATATTGTCGGTATTTTATACCTTTCTTGCACAAGGTGGGTGTTATATGGGGCGCCAGATCAAGGTGGGTGTTATATGGGGCGTCAGATCAAGGTGGGTGTTATATGGGGCGTCAGACGTTCACATCGGTTGACGGGTGGATGAATAAGTTTTAGATACACTAGTGGAAGCTTAGCTATGCAAATCTTAACTATAAGTCGCCTTGATGCGGCCTCGGATAGTTGAAGTCTGGAAAAAGAAATAACAAAAGCAGACCTTTCTTAACTACGTTTCACCTATTCCGAGGCTTTAATCAGGCACTCGATGAAGCCTCTTGTGGGGTGAAACGTCGCATCAAAGAAAAGGTCTCTTTGTGCTATATTATCATTTACTTCTGGGATCCCCAGCCACTTGTCACTGACGTAGGTTTGCTAACCAGTCCCGAACAAATTACTAGTATGTAAGAGTATTTAGGCTTCCAGTAGGTGACTTGGACCTGCCTAGCATGGACCAGTAGGCCTGCTACAGTGCTCCTTCTTTTTTATGTTTATGTTCTAATGGTATCGTTTACCTTGTGATATGAATCATAATGAATAGAAAGGTACAGTACCGTGACTGGAATAGATAAACAATCCGCGCATAGGAGAAAGAAACTCTTGACTAGAACCATAAGTCGGACCGAAACGTTCCCCTAAGTTTCTTTATCCTATGTGTGGGCTATTTGTGTATAAATCACGATTTTATTGCACGACTTATCAGTGAAAACTCGCGCGAAGTCGTGTCCAGTGTGACTGAGATGTTTAAATGAGTTGCCTTTTTGACTCACGAAATCGTAATGACACGATTGCAAACAAACCATACCCCGGCCGGGATTGAACCGCGGGTTCAATCCCGGCTGGGGTATGGTTTAGTGGACTTTTTAGTCACGGGTCTACAAAACCTCACTGAATGCGTGTATTCTGCAGTACCCCTGGAGGCAACACCCTGTCTGCGGCGGAGCACACCTGCGCCATGATCTGCGCCATGTCCCGCTTCCTGCCTCAGGCCTGCGCTGCTCTCAAAGCCGGCACCTGGGATAGGAAGACCTACCTGGGCTCAGAGCTCCACGGCAAGACTCTTGCCATCGTGGGCCTGGGCAGGATAGGTAGGGAGGTGAGTCCCCATGATGTCATTATCATTCACAGCTAAAACCCCTAAACAAACCACGGTACGGGTAAGGGTTAGAGCTTATGGTAAGTGAGTTTTAAAACTCCAGGCCTTTGCGTAAGCCATTGGTCTAGCTGGCCTAGTGGCTTACGCACTGGCCTTCAGTACTCGTGCATTTTTGTAAATAAACACTTTCATACTGCTTTTGTATATAGTTTATTCATAAGGACCGAAAACTTAAATTAGTTTATTTATTGCTACTTTTAATAAAAGTCACTTCGCAGGTAGCCAAACGTATGCAGGCCTTTGGAATGATTACCATTGGTTATGACCCCATAATCCCGGAGGAGGTGACGAAGGAGTGGGGTGTGGAGTCCCTAAGTCTGGAGGCACTGTGGCCTCGGGCTGACTATATCACCGTGCACACGCCCCTTCTACCACACACCAAGAACCTCGTCGGTGAGGAGGTCCTGGCCAAGTGCAAACCCGGGGTGCGCATCGTCAATGTTGCCCGTGGTGGTATTGTGGATGAGGCAGCGCTACTCAAGGCTCTGGAGAGGGGCACCTGTGGTGGTGCTGCGCTGGACGTCTTTCTCGAAGAACCACCAACTGACACCACACTTTGTAGGCATCCAAAGGTAATGTCCACTCTGTCAGGAGATACTCCCATTATTACTCTAGATATACCAATACACTCGTGCATATAAAGTAACAGACATAAGCTAGGAGCTAGTACCTTACGTCTGCTAGTATATAAAATATGTACACCTGCAAAGGGTACTGGTGTACATATGCTCATGAGGTACTGGTGTACACAAGCACACACGGCTCACTGGTTCAGTCTGTCCAGGAAACTGCACACCCGTTGTTTCAGGAAACTCAAACCTTGATGCGATAATAAGTCTCTCTTAAAGCACACCGTTAAAAATATTCCTGAGATTTTTATTCTGAAAGTAATGTCTCATTTTTGTACGTGACCTTGTTTGTCTTGATGTGATAGTGTAAACCAATCAGGTCCGTGACCTTGCTTGCCCTTTCTGTCGTGTGTGAACCAGTCAGGTACTAGTTCGACTGCTCTTCTTCGATACTTACCTAAGATTAATGTTGGGTAATTTTGGTGCTGGCGAAGGGCTCTTCCCCAGCACCAAAATTACCCTCCCTTTCCCTGTATCAGACATAATTACCTCCCACTTTCAAGGTACTTTATGACCCCACCATTCCCTGTGATTTCTGTGTATATCTATTTAAACAAAAAATTACATCTTACAGCGGGAGTTCGAACCAGAGATTAAGTTAGCTGTCAAGGCGAAATCTCAATGTCACCGTGACCGACTGTGCCATTAATTTAGAAAGTCATCAGTCACTTAGAGCATCATCATTAAAGGCTTCAGCTTAGTCTAGACCTTCAGTGCTGAAGCTGGAGCTTCACTCATAGGCCCTGAGTGTTTTTTACACGAGGTTTTACAAGGTTAATTTAAGGTTCCTAGCTTTATTTACAAGCTAAGAGCTGTTACCTACATCAGCTCATTTAAAAGCATTTTTATTATTACGAGACACACACATAGGGAACAGGATGATTGTTTTATATCTACGTTTAGAAGTGATCACTAAAAGTGGTCACTTCTAAACGTGACCTTGTCGTGATCACTAGAAGTGATCAAGATCCCAGGGCCAAAACGTTTTCTAATAAATATGTCCTAGTGTTTGCTCTCGGGTCTCTAAACCCGTTTGTCGGTATCTATTACCGAGGTTTATATCATATGTTTATAGCCTTATTTTCTCTTACAACTGTGAAGTTAATTCATTCTTGTAATAGTTGTATGTGGTATAGCGAGACCCACCAGCTGATGATACTTGTATAGTTCAGTACATATATTGAAGGAAACGTTTCGCCACGAGTGGCTTTATTAGCCCTAGTGAAGCCACTCTTGGCGAAACGTTCCTTTAAAAAATGGATTGTACACTTGTGTCATTATCCACAACTTGCAGTAATGTGTACACCTGTGAAGCCAGTCTCGTACTCTTGTAATATCGTGTACACTTATTAACTCGTTAACACATTTGATATACATTTATAGCGCTGGAAGGGAACAGGTGTGGTGAGGACAGGTAATAACGAGCAGGTGTTGTCCGGCAGGTAATATGCACCCCTCACCTGGGCGCTAACACGGTGGAGGCGCAGCAGAGGGTAGCGGTGGAGATCGCGCAGCAGATAGTGGACATGGTGAAGGGTAAGCCCCTGGTGGGCGTGGTGAACGCAGCAGCCCTCACACACGCCACCAGTCCCGCCAGCAAGGACTGGATCGAGTTGGCTCAAGCCCTGGGCTGCCTGGGTAGCCACCTCAGCCAGCCGGCCGACACACCAGCCAGCACAGTCCATATTGACCTCTACGGTCAGTTTCTCTTTGTGTATTTTGGCTTCGTGGGTGTAATGACCCATTTGTGATTGCCTGATTGTAGTAGCCACAAGGAGCAGATCATATCAGTGGTGTACGGTACCGAAAAGTACCGTACACCACTGTACTGTCTGTACATGTGTTTTATTCCTGTTCAGGAGCATTGTCTAGTCTTCAGTAATTTATGCATAGATATTCGGTCAGAGAAACCTGCTAAAACAGAGTTTCCCAAATCTTACAAAAGCTATTTCCTTTTATGTCAACTTATGTTGGATTACCTGAGCCTATAAAAACTCGTACTGTATTTAACCATATAAAAGAAAGTTAGAGGTACGTCTGGCAGAGAGGTTACGGAATGTAGGCAGGAGACGTTGAAATTTGTGCGTCAAATCAAAGACTGTGTGGGGGTTAGGAATCATGGTAGGAGAGGCTTAAAACTCGAAGTTGTGTGAATTTTTTTTTTTGCAATCGTATTATTTCGATTTCGAGAGAATGAGCTCAAGTATTGTGATATGGGGTGAGGGGGGGGGTGTCACTGTTGCCACCAGTGTACACGCTTCTTATCTGGCAAAGTGATCACTAGATTACAGTGAAGATATCACTGTGTAGCAGGTTCATGTTTACTAGTGCTGTGGTATTATTTATTTATTCCAGTGTGAATAATCCGTTACTTCCTCACTTTTTTTAGTGATTTCTCTCGTTCAGCACTTTTTCCTCACTTTCCTCACTCCTCACATTGCTTGGGTCAAACAAAAGTGTTTTGTGAGTTCCTTAAATAGTTACATATATTTTAATCTCCTGACAGTGTTACAAGTGCTAAGTAATTTTGATTCACGAAATCGTAATAACACGATTGCAAACCAGTCACAGAACGGGTCTGCGAGTTTTAAGACTGGCTTACCATGGGTTCGAGTCTCTTCCATTCTGTGATTTAAGTGTTTTTTTTTTTATTTGAGCAGTTATTTAACCCCAAAACCCTTGATTTTATAAGCCATATTTTTCCTGTTTGACTTGTGTTTATTTTCTAAAATTTTATAATTTCAGTAGATATTAACCTCTCATGCTCCACTTAACACACCCCATCACTGCCAACCTTTTTTTTATTTATTTTTTTAGCATTTAGCATTTTTAGCAACAAATTCACCCCACGTTGCTTCCTTTGTTGGCACTGTTTTGAGTAACAAAGGAATGGTTTCTCCGGCTGTTTTGACAGAACTAATGAGAAACTTGAGCCGGCAGAGCCATTGATCTTCCCTGGTTGCAAGTCAGATCAGAACTACAACCACCATGACCACGTCTAATGTGACTTGCTAACTAGCTGTATCATTTTGTTAGTCTTTATTCTCCTTCCCCATTAAGATAGCTTTTGTTTATTAATGTGCAACAATATCTTTGGTACAAATTTATTTTTCAGGGCTTTAATCTTCTCTCCTTTTATGTATTTCCCTGATTAAGTCTTAAAACCCCTGTTAAATCCAATTTTAATTCTTCCGTACACTCCCTCATTATCTTATTAAAGATCGTAATTTATAACCCCATCATTTTACATCTCTGTGCGAGACTGTAGTGGCAGGAAGAACCCCTGGTGCATCCTGTGTCATTATTTGTTCTGATAAAGTGATGTTGTCCAGGGAGCGAGGTAAGCAAGATGGACACCTTCCTGGGCTCTGCTGTGCTGGTGGGGTTACTGCGAACCACCTCACCGGACGGTATCAACATGGTGAATGCACCTCTGCTGGCACAGGAGTCTGGCATCGACCTCACCCACCATGCCCACCCACACACGCCAGCGCCTCTCATCGCCGCCCCAGAGGCACTCGTGGTCAGGGTGTCGCGAGGTGCCGACACACACGTCCTCCTGGGTGAGTAACTCCGGTGTTGATCTAATACGACTGTTCGCTTATCTTAGTTGTTACGTGCGTGACCAGTTGATGCAAGTGTTCCTGCATTGTGTTAGTGTTGTTGCTAGTGCTAGCCTGTTATCACCCAGGTGTGGGGGCTAGCTCCTGGAGGGAATGGGGGGGGGCATTCTGATTCGATCCAAGGAAGAGGAGGGTACGTCCAATTCCTTGGCTCAAGATCCCCTCACCAGCAGGTAATTTGAATGACCACTGCTATTATCAGAACTTTTGAGTTGTTCTAGTATTCTTAATATGTAACACTGGCGTAGCTACATGAAGTCAAGAGATGATGATGTAACACTTGTCACCACCGGTGTTTAACTGTAGTTTATATACCTTTGAAGAGTTTCGAGAGTTAATCTACTCTCTGAGCCCGGCCATGAGCTAGGCTCGTCTGGGGCTTGCCTGGTCAACCAAGCTGTTGCTGCTGGAGGCCCGCTGCCCCACATATCCATCACAGTCTGGTTGATCTGGCACCTGGTGAAGATACTTGTCCAGTTTCCTCTTGAAGGCTTCTACACTTGTTCCAGCCGTGTTTCTGATATCTTCTGGTAAGATGTTGAAAAGTTTGGGACCCCGGATGTTGATACAGTGTTCCCTTATTGTCCCCACCGCACCCCTGGGTTTATTATACACTTCCTCCCACATCTCTCACTCCAGTATGTTATGGCAGTGTGCAGATTTGGGACCAGGCCCTCGAGTATTTTCCAGATATATATATTATCATGTCTCTCTCTCTCCTCCGCTCCAGTGAATACATGCTCAAGACTTGCAGGCGTTCCCAGTAGTAAAGCCTGTGAAGCTCACATTGAGTTTTACTGGCTCAGTGTGAGCCGTAAACGATCTCTGTATTTGTTCCAGTTCCGATATTTCTCCTGCTTTGAACGGGGCCGTCAGCACTGAGTAATATTCTAAGTGAGGGAGCACTAGCGATTTGAAGCGTCACCATCGGCATTAATTCCTTTATTTTGAAAGTTCTCAGTACCCGCTCCGTCATCTTTCTGGCTGTCGTGATCTTTGTCTTGTTATGGACTTGCAACGAAAGGTCCGCTGACATAATTATTCCCAAGTCTTTTACGTGTTCCTTAAGTTCTATTCGGTGACCCTCTTGAGTTTTGTATATAGTGTTCCTTTTGAGTTCTTCATTCTTTCCATTCTTTGATGTTGCAGGCGGCGCTGCTGGTGGACACGCGACGTTGTATGCACTGGATGGCTGTGTATGGGAGTCCGGCCTCACGTTAAGCAATAATATGCTCTTCTTCAGCGCCTCCCCCAGCGCTACCCCACTGGCCACCATCGCCACCAAGCTGCTGGAGGGCAACAGGCAGCCGTCACTTCTCTCCTTTCTTCATCTCCATCCTCCAAGGAGAGGTGGCATGTCGTCAGGACGGATTCAGCAGTTGCCCTGGGCACCACCAGCATCCCTGGAGCCCAGCTCAGAGCCCAAGTCACCTTTTGAGACTGTCCTCCATCATACCAGAAGTCGCGCTCAGAACTGACATTGATTCGCCCAGCCTCGAATCATTCTCTAACAATAACATCCTCCCGTTAACCACCTGTGATGACCCACTACACTTGGTGAACCCAGATTTTGGATTTTTATCTTATCCAAAACTGTCCTAAACCCCCCGGATGTAGCAGGAGACATGACACTCATCCAAAACCAATTTGTGGCTAAAATTTTTATTTATCATATGCAAGGGAGTATTGTTAATAAATTTTACAGAATGCGTCACAGTTCCTACGCATAAACTATAGCCAATGTGCCGTCATTATGTAGTTGAATTTAAAAAAAAAAATGATAAATTTATTGATATTTTTTGTACCCTTGAAATGATTTATTCCAGTATATAAAACTGCGATAAATTACTTCTGGTCACTTTTGTTTACAAGTTTTAGTGCTGGTGATTTTTTTTTCGCCTATTTCCCCCTCCCTCCTCAATGTAAAATTAATTATACTGATTATTCTGGTTAGGTTACGCAGCGCTGTATGACCCTGGTGGGTTTAGCGCTTTTTTGATTATAATAATGAGGTCAGGTCAGTAGGTCAGTTAAACAACTTGGTCACAGGAATGCGACAGTTATGTTAAGAACGTTCCTTCGTGCCTGCGAGGGGCTCTTGATCTAAGGAACTGGATCTATGCTCCCCTTGGATCAAACCTGAATGACTTATTACCACAGGTGCTGTATTACCCCTGAGGGCTGAGCTCTCTCTCCCCATAATTTAATCGCAGCGTAATAAAAAGTAAGTCTGTGGTTACTAACAGTGAAGATGGTAGTGAGGCGCGACACCTCCAAGGAGGTTCCTCCATGCCTGTGAGAGGCTCTTGATCCGAGGAATTTCACGGGTGCTCCATTGGGTTGAACCTAAATGCCTTCCATTCCCATAGTCGCTACATGACCCTCCTATGGGTTTAGCGCTCGCCCATAAATTCAATAAACAGAAGTACACGAGTGTACTGCTCTATTGCGAGGAAAATTATTAGGGGTAAGAAAATGACTGTTTTTGAGCGCACCGGCTGTCCTCCCGAGGCAGGGTGACCCGAAATAAATAATATACAACCACACTCAAGGAAAGACTGTCATGCTACAAGTGTTCAGACAACACGAGTTGACTTTCCAACTGTAACATCCTCCCCCATCCTGAGGTCCACCTTTACTACCTGGAGTTTATCAGGAGAGGGTTTCGGGGGTCAACGCGTCCGCGGCTCTGAGACCAGGCAATAGTTTCCCCTTATCTTCCCCGTCTCTCCTATATAACACCAACCTCACTGTCCTAAAAAACTCTGGTGTTTTAAGTAAGCTACCTATCCCACACACAAGTATACATAATATATTAAGATAAATGACAAAAAAATGGAGGACAGTCAGGTTGGGCAGGAACCAGGAAGGATTAACATAAATATATAAGATCAAAGTAAACTTTGAAAAAATGGAAGGGAATTAACGAATGTACGAATGCAACCAAGGCAAAAAACACTAAAAGAGAAAGTTATGATAGAGAGGGACGAGGAATTGGCTAAAAAATTAGGATGATACATTGGAAGCAAAAATCTGGGAAATTACACAAAAATTAGATAGTTATGAAGGAATAAATGAGAGAACTGGAACACCAGTTAAAGTTAACTATGGATAATTCTGAAAATGTTAGTAAAAACTTTGAGAGGAAGTGCTGGAAGTATGAGCAGAGGAAGTGCTGGAAGTATGAGCAGAGGAAGTGCTGGAAGTGTGAGCAGAGGAAGTGCTGTATGCGAGGAAGGTCTGGAAAATCATAACTCGAAACTTCAGTATAATTAACACATTTTTTTCACTTTGCTATAATAACAATCTATTCCACTATACAAACAAAAATTAAACATCCACACTGACAATAACAGAATAGTGAATAAAAACCTCCCCCCCCTCCAAAAAAGAATATCACTTTTTCTCAGGTGTAGGAAAAATTACACGAGGTAAGTTATTTCTTCAAATATATATTTAGCATCTTATTAACTTTGTTTTATAACAATTCACACACAAAAAAATAAATAATTAAAGAATAATGTAGTATTGATCAATTATGCACAACTGAAGAGAAACGAAGCCAGAACACACTCCTAGAGTTATAGCCTTTAAGGAAGGTGCTTGGATGAGTTGAAGATGTTTTGAGGGTGCCTGGAGACGTCGCTGTTCTCGAGAACCTGGTCTTTCAAGAAACTGAGACACACACACACACACACACACACACACACACACAACACTAAGCCATAAATGCAACAACAGCGATGAAGAAATGCTGAAGTTTATATTGAAGACTGACAGTATGATCACCATCACAAGAGAGACAGTATGATCACTAGCATCACAAGACTGACAGTATGATCACCATCACAAGAGTGACAGTATGATCACCATCACAAGAGTGACAGTATGATCACTAGCATCACAAGAGTGACAGTATGATCACCAGCATCACAAGACTGACAGTATGATCACCATCACAAGAGTGACAGTATGATCACCAGCATCACAAGAGTGACAGTATGATCAACATCACAAGAGTGACAGTATGATCACTAGCATCACAAGAGTGACAGTATGATCACCAGCATCACAAGAGTGACATTATGATCACCAGCATCACAAGAGAGACAGTATGATCACCAGCATCACAAGAGAGACAGTATGATCACCAGCATCACAAGAGTGAAAGTATGATCACCAGCATCACAAGAGTGAAAGTATGATCACCAGCATCACAAGAGTGACAGTATGATCACCAGCATCACAAGAGTGACAGTATGATCACCAGCATCACAAGAGAGACAGTATGATCACCAGCATCACAAGAGTGACAGTATGATCACCAGCATCACAAGAGTGACAGTATGATCACCAGCATCACAAGAGTGAAAGTATGATCACCAGAATCACAAGAGTGACAGTATGATCACCAGCATCACAAGAGTGACAGTATGATCACCAGCATCACAAGAGAGACAGTATGATCACCAGCATCACAAGAGTGACAGTATGATCACCAGATCACAAGAGTGCAGTATGATCACCAGCATCACAAGAGTGACAGTATGATCACCAGCATCACAAGAGTGACAGTATGATCACAAGCATCACAAGAGTGACAGTATGATCACCAGCATCACAAGAGAGACAGTATGATCACCAGCATCACAAGAGAGACAGTATGATCACCAGCATCACAAGAGTGAAAGTATGATCACCAGCATCAGAAGAGTGACAGTATGATCACCAGCATCACAAGAGTGACAGTATGATCACCAGCATCACAAGAGTGAAAGTATGATCACCAGCATCACAATAGTCAGAGACTATTGAGGAAAATTAAAGCACATGGAATAGGAGGAGAAATTTTTTCCTGGATAGAGGCATGGTTGACAAATAGGCAGCAGAGAGTTTGCATAAATGGGGAGAAATCAGAGTGGGGAAGCGTCACGAGCGGTGTTCCACAGGGGTCAGTGTTGGGCCCCCTGCTGTTCACAATCTACATAAACGACATAGATGAGGGCATAAAGAGCGACATCGGCAAGTTTGCGATGACACCAAAATAGGCCGTCGAATTCATTCTGACGAGGACATTCGAGCACTCCAGGAAGATTTGAATAGACTGATGCAGTGGTCGGAGAAGTGGCAGATGCAGTTTAATATAGACAAATGCAAAGTTCTAAATGTTGGACAGGACAATAACCATGCCACATATAAACTAAATAATGTAGATCTTAATATTACGGATTGCGAAAAAGATTTAGGAGTTCTGGTTAGCAGTAATCTGAAACCAAGACAAACAGTGCATAAGTGTTCGCAATAAAGCTAATAGAATCCTTGGCTTCATATCAAGAAGCATAAATAATAGGAGTCCTCAGGTTGTTCTTCAACTCTATACATCCTTGGTTAGGCCTCATTTAGATTATGCTGCACAGTTTTGGTCACCGTATTACAGAATGGATATAAATTCTCTGGAAAATGTACAAAGGAGGATGACAAAGATGATCCCATGTATCAGAAACCTTCCCTATGAGGATAGACTAAGGGCCCTGAAACTGCACTCTCTAGAAAGACGTAGAATTAGGGGGGATATGATTGAGGTTTATAAGTGGAAGACAGGAATAAATAAAGGGGATGTAAATAGTGTGCTGAAATATCTAGCCTAGACAGGACTCGCAGCAATGGTTTTAAGTTGGAAAAATTCAGATTCAGGAGGGATATAGGAAAGTACTGGTTTGGTATATGAGTTGTGGATGAGTGGAACAAACTCCCAAGATACCGTTATAGAGGCCCAGAACGTTGTGTAGCTTTAAAAATAGGTTGGATAAATTACATGAGTAGATGTGGGTGGGTGTGAGTTGGACCTGATAGCTTGTGCTAACAGGTCGGTTGCCGTGTTCCTCCCTTAAGTCAATGTGACCTGACCTGACTAGGTTGGGTGCATTGGCTTAAGCCGGTAGGGACTTGGACCTGCCTCGCATGGCCAGTAGGCCTTCTGCAGTGTTCCTTCGTTCTTATGTTCTTATGTTCTTATGATCACCAGCATCACAAGAGTGAAAGTATGATCACCAGAATCACAAGAGTGACAGTATGATCACCATCATCACAAGAGTGACAGTATGATCACCAGCATCACAAGAGAGACAGTATGATCACCAGGATCACAAGAGTGACAGTATGATCACCAGCATCACAAGAGTGACAGTATGATCACCAGCATCACAAGAGAGACAGTATGATCACCAGGATCACAAGAGTGACAGTATGATCACCAGCATCACAAGAGTGACAGTATGATCACCAGCATCACAAGAGTGACAGTATGATCACCAGCATCACAAGAGAGACAGTATGATCACCAGCATCACAAGAGTGAAAGTATGATCACCAGCATCACAAGAGTGACAGTATGATCACCAGCATCACAAGAGTGACAGTATGATCACCAGCATCACAAGAGTGACAGTATGATCACCAGCATCACAAGAGAGACAGTATGATCACCAGCATCACAAGAGTGAAAAGTATGATCACCAGCATCACAAGAGTGACAGTATGATCACCAGCATCACAAGAGTGGACAGTTGATCACCAGCATCACAAGAGAGACAGTATGATCACCAGCATCACAAGAGAGACAGTATGATCACCAGGATCACAAGAGTGACAGTATGATCACCAGCATCACAAGAGTGACAGTATGATCACCAGCATCACAAGAGTGACAGTATGATCACCAGCATCACAAGAGTGACAGTATGATCACCAGCATCACAAGAGTGACAGTATGATCACCAGCATCACAAGAGTGACAGTATGATCACCAGCATCACAGAGAGACAGTTATGATCACCAGCATCACAAGAGTGACAGTATGATCACCAGCATCACAAGAGAGACAGTATGATCACCAGCATCACAAGAGAGTATGATCACCAGCATCACAAGAGTGACAGTATGATCACCAGCATCAGAATAGTGACAGTATGATCACCAGCATCAGAAGAGTGACAGTATGATCACCAGCATCACAAGAGAAGACAGTATGATCACCAGCATCACAAGAGTGACATATGATCACCAGCATCAGAAGAGTGACAGTATGATCACCAGCATCACAAGAGTGACAGTATGATCACCAGCATCACAAGAGTGACAGTATGATCACCAGAATCACAAGAGTGAAAGTATGATCACCAGCATCACAAGAGAGACAGTATGATCACCAGCATCAGAAGAGTGACAGTATGATCACCAGCATCAGAAGAGTGACAGTATGATCACCAGCATCACAAGAGTGAAAGTATGATCACCAGCATCACAAGAGTGACAATATGATCACCAGCATCACAAGAGTGACAGTATGATCACCAGAATCCACAAAGAGTGACAATATGATCACCAGCATCACAAGACTGACAGTATGATCACCAGCATCAGAAGAGTGACAGTATGATCACCAGCATCACAAGAGTGAAAGTATGATCACCAGAATCACAAGAGTGACAATATGATCACCAGCATCACAAGAGTGACAGTATGATCACCAGAATCACAAGAGTGACAGTATGATCACCAGCATCACAAGACTGACAGTATGATCACCAGCATCACAAGAGTGAAAGTATGATCACCAGCATCAGAAGAAAGATGTTATTTCAAATGGATTTAAAAGCATGAACAGATTCCCGTCTCTCGGGAGACATTGGCAACCTCTGAGGGACGCTCGTGATCCAAGGAATTGTAACTATCTACCTCTTTCTTGAATCAAACCTAATTTACCTCCAATTCACCAGGAGCTGTACAAATCCTACGGGTTTAGATCCTACCTACAAATGTTAAAAAAATTCTGGCTCTCTCTCCTTCCAAAATGACTCAACAAATACTTATAAAAACCTACAGCCGATATATATATATATTATATAATATATATATATATATATATTTATATATATATATATTTATATATATTAGCTAACTTAATAGATCTCAGAATAAGTAATTAGAAATGGAAGCAAAATTTCACAAGTTACGTTTAGTTAATGAAGGGAATTGTTTATATTAATATTTTACACACAACAGAAAAGGAATAGAAATGTTAGTTACATATGAATGATCCGCTACTATGTAAGTTCAACAATACATAGTGTGAACATAGTGAACACATGGTGTGAACATAGTGAAACATGGTGTGAACATAGTGAACACATGGTGTGAACATAGTGAAACATGGTGTGAACATAGTGATGCACACATGGTGTGAACATAGTGAACACATGGTGTGAACATAGTGAACACATGGTGTGAACATAGTGATGAACACATGGTGTGAACATAGTGAACACATGGTGTGACATTAGTGATCACATGGTGTGAACATAGTGATGAACACATGGTGTGAACATAGTGAACACATGGTGTGAACATAGTGAACACATGGTGTGAACATAGTGATGAACACATGGTGTGAACATAGTGAACACATGGTGCGAACATAGTGATGCACACATGGTGTGAACATAGTGATGAACACATGGTGTGAACATAGTGAACACATGGTGTGAACATAGTGAACACATGGTGTGAACATAGTGATGAACACATGGTGTGAACATAGTGAACACATGGTGTGAACATAGTGATGAACACATGGTGTGAACATAGTGAACACATGGTGTGAACATAGTGAACACATGGTGTGAACATAGTGATGAACACATGGTGTGAACATAGTGAACACATGGTGTGAACATAGTGAACCATGGTGTGAACATAGTGAACACCATGGTGTGAACATAGTGATGAACACATGGTGTGAACATAGTGAACACATGGTGTGAACATAGTGAACACATGGTGTGAACATAGTGATGAACACATGGTGTGAACATAGTGAACACATGGTGTGAACATAGTGAACACATGGTGTGAACATAGTGAACACATGATGTGAACATAGTGAACACATGGTGTGAACATAGTGATGAACACATGGTGTGAACATAGTGATGAACACATGGTGTGAACATAGTGATGAGCACATGGTGTGAACATAGTGATGAACACATGGTGTGAACATAGTGAACACATGGTGTGAACATAGTGAACACATGGTGTGAACATAGTGAACACATGGTGTGAACATAGTGATGAACACATGGTGTGAACATAGTGAACACATGGTGTGAACATAGTGATGAACACATGGTGTGAACATAGTGATGATCACATGGTGTGACCATAGTGATGAACACATGGTGTGAACATAGTGAACACATTGTGTGAACATAGTGATGAACACATGGTGCGAACATAGTGATGAACACATGGTGTGAACATAGTGATGAACACATGGTGTGAACATAGTGATGAGCACATGGTGTGAACATAGTGATGAACACATGGTTTGAACATAGTGATGAGCACATGGTGTGAGCATAGTGATGAACACATGGTGTGAACATAGTGATGAACACATGGTGTGAACATAGTGAACACATGGTGTGAACATAGTGATGAACACATGGTGTGAACATAGTGATGCACACATGGTGTGAACATAGTGATGAGCACATGGTGTGAACATAGTGAACACATGGTGTGAACATAGTGATGAACACATGGTGTGAACATAGTGAACACATGGTGTGAACATAGTGATGAACACATGGTGTGAACATAGTGATGCACACATGGTGTTGAACATAGTGATGAACACATGGTGTGAACATAGTGATGAACACATGGTGTGAACATAGTGATGCACACATGGTGTGAACATAGTGATGCACACATGGTGTGAACATAGTGATGAACACATGGTGTGAACATAGTGATGAACACATGGTGTGAACATAGTGATGAACACATGGTGTGAACATAGTGATGAAAAATGGTGTGAACATAGTGATGAACACATGGTGTGAACATAGTGATGAACACATGATGTGAACATAGTGATGAACACATGGTGTGAACATAGTGAACACATGGTGTGAACATAGTGAACACATGGAGTGAACATAGTGAACACATGGTGTGAACATAGTGATGAACACATGGTGTGAACATAGTGAACACATGGTGTGAACATAGTGATGAACATATGGTGTGAACATAGTGATGAACACATGTTGTGAACATAGTGAACACATGGTGTGAACCTAGTGATGAACACCTGGTGTGAACATAGTGATGAACATATGGTGTGAACATAGTGATGAACACATGTGAACATAGTGAACACATGGTGTGAACATAGTGATGAACACCTGGTGTGAACATAGTGATGAACACATGGTGTGAACATAGTGATTTACACATGGTGTGAACATAGTGAACACATGGTGTGAACATAGTGATTTACACATGGTGTGAACATAGTGAACACATGGTGTGAACATAGTGAACACATGGTGTTAACATAGTGATGAACACCTGGTGTGAACATAGTGATGAACACATGGTGTGAACATAGTGATGAACACATGGTGTGAACATAGTGAGCACATGGTGTGAACATAGTGCTGAACACATGGTGTGAACATAGTGATGAACACATGGTGTGAACAGTGATGAACACATGGTGTGAACATAGTGATGAACACATGGTGTGAATATAGTGATGAACACATGGTGTGAACATAGTGATGAACATATGGTGTGAACATAATGAACACATGGTGTGAACATAGTGATGAACACATGGTGTGAACATAGTGATAAACACATGGTGTGAACATAGTGATGAACACATGATGTGAACATAGTGAACACATGGTGTGAACATAGTGATGAACACATGGTGTGAACAGTGATGAACACATGGTGTGAACATAGTGATGAACACATGGTGTGAACATAGTGGTGAACACATGGTGTGAACAGTGATGAACACATGGTGTGAACATAGTGATGAACAAAATACAATATCTATACTAACATCAATACTATGGTATCCGGAAACCATCAATACACAGCCGATGTCATGTGTCACAAGTAGGTTAAACCCTAATGTTAAACCACCCATGCCACCCATACTCAAGTCCTTGAATGTTTTAATTCTTCAAGAAGAGGTAGGAGGATGGGGAAGGGGGAAGAAGGAGGCGTTGCCTTGAGGGACTCTCGATTCAATAACTGAAGCTGCTATCCCCTAGTTGATTCAAGCCCTTGATGAAGGGAGTGTCATACTAACGTATCATAGAGGCAGTGTATGAGTACAACAGCGTATGAGAACAACAGTGCTGGTTGTCTCACCTTGTTCTTCAGCTTTTGTTGTTGACACTGATGTTATTGCTGCTGCTGATCCTGATACTGATTCTGTTATAACTGTTGTTGCTGCTGCTTATTATTCTATTGTTGCTCCTGTTATAGCTCCTGGTGGAGATCCTGACGTTGCTGCTGTTAGTGCTGCTGGAGATCCTGTCGATGTTGCTCTAATTACTCCTGCTGCTTTTATTACCGTTGCTGCTGTTGTTACTGCTCCTGACGTTGCTGCTGTTATTACTATAGCAGCAGACCATCACAACGTGGGTGACAGACCATTTACGATCACAAACTATTAGATTACATTGGAAGACAAACATTTGCATCTTTCCTTTCATTCCTCGTCACGTTAGTGTTCAGCTTCGGAGTTTCATCTCACTCATCAAACCTCGTCCCTGAGCTCTGCTACAGGATTGTCAACGCCACCTTCAAGAGCCAGGGAAGCCCTGTAGCCGTTCCGAAGAGTGGAGCCTTCAGGAGCTATCGAAGTCCTGCGACGTTTCTGCAGCGAGAAGTTTTCGGAGTCGTCGGAAACCTTGAAGCCATTCTCCAACGAAGCCATTGAGGTGTTTTTGACGTCGCTAGAAACCTCCTGTAGAAGGAAGAAAATTCCACGTTATGGGAGCACCTTATACTATCCAGGAGAGTTAAGGCGGTCTAGGTAGGCTAGATAGTGTCTGTGCTGGTCGGAGAGAGGTTAGGTAAGAGTCGAGGGTTGAGATAGGTTGCATGGGATCTAAGTGGATTAGATATGAATCCAGATGAGTTAGTTCAGGGTCTAGAAAGTCTAGATGAGATCTACCTGGGTTACATAGGACCCAGGTACAAGTACTGTGAACAATAAATTGTGATGGTGGCTACTGTAGTCAAGAAAAATATGGAGGATGGACATAGATCACCTTAAGATGGGCGTCGGAGGTGTTGATACTGAGCGATCGACTTCGGATGATCCTGTCGTAGGCCTTCTTGATAGCCAGCACCAGCACCAGGGGTAGTGGCGTGAACAATGTCGAGCAGGCCGGGATCACTGCAACGAAACACACACACTCCTCATTCATGGATTCCATGATTATTATTATTATTATTATTATTATTATTATTATTATTATTATTATTACTACTACTACTACTACTACTTTTAAAGCCTCTTGACTGTAAAACTGGTCGCCATCCGTCAAGAATAGTTTTAGTCCTAAAATAATGACTAAAGTGAATTTTCAGAGTATGTACACTTTATATATTTGCTTCATCGAGTGTGTCCCACCAACGCAGGGTGATCCAAGGCTCCCCCCCCCCAAAAAAAAAAAAAAAAAAAAACTCATTCACCATCACTCGTTCAACAGTCATCTTCCCAGAAGAGCACAGACGTCACAAAACAAGAGCTAAACTTGTACGAGCAAAGGCTAATGGTTTCCACCTGGATGAGCATTGGCAAGTACCTCACTGTATGAGTTAATCTCTGATACATCAGTAAGTGCACCTCATGGACCACTTGCTGTTATAACGGTGCGTCTTACGAGTCACTTTTATAACAAACTCAGCGAAGAGATGAATTTTTTTTATAAGAGTGAACCAACAAACGTCTCTCTTCAGAGTCTTCTACAGTAATCTACTCTGCTATCCTGTCTGCAAACAGACAGGATATTGCAGCACTAAATGAATTCCAAAGGGTGAGGAACAGAGTGCAGAGACTTATAATAAAAGGAGCAAAGGCAAAGGACTATTGCTCAAAAATTGAAGAGTATAAGCATAACCCCAGAAAGCTCTGGCAACAACTAAAACAGTTGGGGTATAGCCATAAGCCAGTAGATAGGTCTAACATAGTACTCACTCTCGATAACGAGGTATGCCACGAAACATCTAAGGTGGCAAATTGCTTTAATTCCTTCTACACATCTGTAGCATCAACACTAGTAAGTAAACTACCAGCTGCATCAAATACCTTTAACACAGACTGATAAGTTTCAAACATACTATACCAATAAAGGTGGTGACTCGGTGGCCTGGTGGCTAAAGCTCCCGCTTCACACACGGAGGGCCCGGGTTCGATTCCCGGCGGGTGGAAACATTTCGACACGTTTCCTTACACCTGTTGTCCTGTTCACCTAGCAGCAAATAGGTACCTGGGTGTTAGTCGACTGGTGTGGGTCGCATCCTGGGGGACAAGATTAAGGACCCCAATGGAAATAAGTTAGACAGTCCTCGATGACGCACTGACTTTCTTGGGTTATCCTGGGTGGCTAACCCTCCGGGGTTAAAAATCCGAACGAAATCTTATCTTATCTTAGGGGTAACCCCAAACAGTTGTCAACTAGTAAGTGTATCTCATGACTTTATTCAAAAAAAACTAAGCAGGTTAAACCCAACTAAGAGCACAGGCCCGGATAACATCCCGTCTAAGTTCCTAAAAGATGGTGCTTCTGAACTGTCAATCCTTATTGCTCACATAATAAATCTATCAATCACCACTAATACCGTACCGGAGGGGTTCAAGGAGGCCAGAGTTACTCCTATCTTCAAGAAAAATAGTAGGTCTGATGTAAGCAACTATAGGCCTGTTAGTATACTCAGTATAATATCCAAAATTCTACAGAGGGCGGTGTACTGTCAAGTAGTTAAGTACCTTAATGACAACAACATTCTCCATAACTATCAATCGGGCTTTAGAAGATCTTACTCAACCGACACCTCCCTAATTAATCTGATGGATTACCTGAGAACTGAAATGTCAAAGGGGAACCTCATAGGTATGGTAACCTTAGACCTGCAAGAGGCCTTCGATACTGTCAACCACAATATATTATGTAAGAAACTTCAAGCTATCGGTATAGGTTCTGTAGACTGGTTTAAGTCCTACCTTAGCAACAGGAGACAAATTGTCAAAATCAACAAAACGGAATCAGAACCCCTGCCGATAGCATGTGGAGTTCCCCAAGGTAGTATTCTGGGTCCCTTATTATTCTTGTTATGTCAATGACATGCCTATCAGTGTCAAGTGCAAACTCCTACTGTATGCAGATGACAGTGCTCTGTTAGTGTCAGGTAAAGACCCACAAGATATAGCTAATGTTTTAACACCGGAACTGGAGTCCTGCAGCAAATGGTTAGTAGACAACAAACTATCATTACACCTAGGGAAAACTGAAGCCATTCTCTTTGGCACGAAACATAAACTGAGAAGGATAAATAATTTTAATGTCCAGTGTAATGGGGAGCCCATCACTTTGGTTTCATCAGTAAAATATCTGGGAATCCCATTTGACCCATGCGTGTCAGGAGAATTGATAGGGAACAGTGTAGTAAAGAAAGCGAATGCCAGACTGAAGTTCCTGTATAGACAAGCACAGCGTCTACCTACTGAGGCTCGCAGGACCCTATGTCTAGCCCTTATACAAAGCCATATGGATTACGCTTGTTCTTCATGGTACTCTGCCTTGACAAAAAAGCTGAAAGACAGACTGCAAATCACACAGAACAAATTCGTAAGATTCATCCTGGGGCTGGGACCAAGACAGCATGTAGGCCAGAATGAATTACAGCAGTTGGATATGCTGAATGTTGAAGACAGAGTAAAACAACTGAAGCTAAATCATGTTTATAAAATTGCTCACAGTGTCCAGAATATCTTGCTGTCAGTTTTGTCAAGGTTGGGAACCAAAGCAATCATAGTACTAGGGGGAGAGAGCACAACTTTGTAGTACCCACAGTCATTGGCCAGGCGTCAAACACCTTTTATTGTACAGCAATAAAGGAATGGAACAGACTACCCGCACATGTCAAAGCCAGTCATAGCATGAACCAGTTCAAGAAGAGTGCCAAAAGGTGTCTGATGAATGTAGCTACAGAAAGGGAGGGGAATGATTTTCTAGTTTTTAGCTAACATACGTGTAAATTTTACCTTATTCCTAGTAATGACCCTCGTATTGTAGATAGTCTTAATGACCCTCGTGTAGTCGATAGTCTTTTTAGTATGATAATAAGATGTTATCTTCATCATAGAATAATAAGAAAATATTATAACCTTTATATTATAATAATAAGGTAAAAGGACCCCAATGGAAATAAGTCACTGACTTTTTTGGGTTATTCTAGGTTCTCTACACATATGCTGCTATGTACGATAATTCTATGTAACTGTATTTGTGTATACCTGAATAAACTTACTTAACCAGTGTTGTCTCTGTCTCGTCTGCTCTCTCATCATCTTACACAGTAGACGACTTCCTCTAGGATTTGTTATTCTCTGAATTACACAATATACGTCGTTCTCTAAAATACATTATTCTTACAGACAAAATGCAAGTCTCCCCCTAGAATTTCCTATCTTTGACTTACAATAAACTTCTTCAGGTTCTGCTCTTTGACTGACTGAACAGATATATTTCGATCAAGCACATTATCATTCCCTCCGGCACACTACAGCAGTAGGTCTCCTACAGACCTTCACACTACAGCAGTAGGTGTCCCGCAGGAACCTGCACACTACAGTAGTAGGTCTCCCTCAGGAACCTCCGGCACACTACAGCAGTAGGTCTCCCTCAGGAACCTGCACACTACAGCAGTAGGTCTCCTGCAGGAACCTGCACACTACAGCAGTAGGTCTCCCTCAGGAATCTGCACACTACAGCAGTAGGTCTCCCGCAGGAGCCTCCGGCACACTACAGCAGTAGGTCTCCCTCAGGAACCTCCGGCACACTACAGCAGTAGGTCTCCCTCAGGAACCTGCACACTACAGCAGTAGGTCTCCTGCAGGAACCTGCACACTACAGCAGTAGGTCTCCTGCAGGAACTTGCACACTACAGCAGTAGGTCTCCCTCAGGAACCTGCACACTATAGCAGTAGGTCTCCCTCAGGAACCTACACACTACAGCAGTAGGTCTCCTGCAGGAACATGCACACTACAGCAGTAGGTCTCCCTCAGGAACCTGCACACTACATCAGTAGGTCTCCCTCAGGAACCTGCACACTACAGCAGTAGGTCTCCTGCAGGAACCTGCACACTACAGCAGTAGGTTTCCCTCAGGAACCTGCACACTACAGCAGTAGGTTTCCCTCAGGAACCTGCACACTACAGCAGTAGGTGTCCCTCAGGAACCTGCACACTACAGCAGTAGGTCTCCCCTCCGGCGCGCTACAGCAGTAGGTGTCCCTCAGGAACCTGCACACTACAGCAGTAGGTGTCCCTCAGGAACCTGCACACTACAGCAGTAGGTCTCCCCTCCGGCGCGCTACAGCAGTAGGTGTCCCTCAGGAACCTGCACACTACAGCAGTAGGTGTCCCTCAGGAACCTGCACACTACAGCAGTAGGTCTGACCTCAGGAACCTCCGACATACACTCACCAGCAGCGAGCTCGCCGCTGGGGGACGAGAGGACCAGTTGGAGAATGATGAGGGCGATGGTGGCGTTCTGCACGCCCGTCTCCACGCTGATGGCGATCACCTCCGGCGTGGAGAGGCGGAAGACGATGGCCAGCACCATGCCACCCAGGTAGCCCAGCGTCGGCAGCAGGAATCCCGACAGCAATATCTGTAGGGAAGGAAGTAACGATTGACAGCACACGGGGAATAACAGATACAGAGGATTTTGAAATACACACGAAGGTTATCTGATGAGAAGAATTATCTTTTCTTTTTCTAATTTTAGATCTCTCTTGAGGCAGCGGTGGAGGTGAGGCAGCGGTGGGGGGGTGAGGCAGCGGTGGGGTGAGGCAGCGGTGGGGGGGTGAGGCAGCGGTGGGGGTGAGGCAGCGGTGGGGGGGTGAGGCAGCGGTGTAACTAACACACCACAAACGAGGACAATGATCGTTATTTAATATTTCCTGACCAATAGAAAATGTAAATTAATTTTTATTTAATGAAGTAAAAACATATAGCTCATGCAGTACAAGGAATGCTGGAGGCTCTATCCTCCGTCCTGGAATACTAAGAGAGAATACACCCTTCATGTGACTTACCTTCCAGGTGAAGATGCTGAAGATGTAGTGGTACGCGTACACACCGAAGGTGAGTATGAAGACGATGTTGAAGGCTGACATGGGTGTGAGAATCTTGGAACAATATTTCACACTCCTGCAACACAAGTTAATATTTCTCACTCCTGCAACACAAGTTAATATTTCACACTCCTGCAACACAAGTTAATATTTCACACTCCTGCAACACAAGTTAATATTTCACACTCCTGCAACACAAGTTAATATTTCACATTCCAGCAACACAAGTTAATATTTCACACTCCTGCAACACAAGTTAATATTTCACACTCCTGCAACACAAGTTAATATTTCACACTCCTGCAACACAAGTTAATATTTCACACTCCTGCAACACAAGTTAATATTTCACACTCCTGCAACACAAGTTAATATTTCACACTCCTGCAACACAAGTTAATATTTCACACTCATGCAACACAAGTTAATATTTCACATTCCAGCAACACAAGTTAATATTTCACACTCCAGCAACACAAGTTAATATTTCACACTCCAGCAACACAAGTTAATATTTCACACTCCTGCAACACAACTTAATATTTCACACTCCTGCAACACAACTTAATATTTCACACTCCTGCAACACAACTTAATATTTCACACTCCTGCAACACAAGTTAATATTTCACACTCCTGCAACACGTGTACAAGCACTGTTGTCATCGCACACACGTCATGAGAGATACACACTCATCTGAATATATACAAAGTCACTGGTATTTGGTTAATGGGTTTTAAAGCCTATCAGCGCTGTAGCCGGGTCCAGACAACTCACCACTCAGAGTGCACTCACTTTGGGTAGAATACTTGCAGGATGATGCCCAGACCGCAGGGTATGATGAGTGTGACCACAGTGAGGGCGATGTTGTCGTACGGGATGACGAAGGAGGCATCCTGCAGGATTAGGGGACCCATCAACAGCACCCACAATGGCACAGCGGCTGTGGGGAGGGTGCGCAGTAAAGTGGATTGGCTGTGGGGTCGTACAGAAGAGGTGGTATAGAATAAAATATTTGTACGTGAATGGTAATACAATGCCAACAAGATGAAGAATTAGACACATAATATATGATAATAATATCTTTATTTCTACAAGTACATGTACAATGACATTCTACTATATAGAAAGCCGCTTGTTATGCAGAGCATTCTGGGCGAATTAGGTCAATTTTGTCACAGGATGCGACCCACACCAGTCGACTAACTCTTAAGTACTCATTTTACTGATGGATGAAGATGGACAACAGGTGTAAGGAAACATGCCTAATGTTTACACCCCTGCCAGGTATCGAACCCGGACACTCAGGGTGTGAAGCGAGAGCTTTGCCTATCAGGCCACGAGCCACATCTGGGTATATCTTTATTTGTAGACGTTTTGTCATCCAGTGGCTTTATCAATAAAATAGAATAAGAATGTAAATAAAGAAACGGGAGGCAGAGGAAGAAGGAGGAACTTACACTGAAGGTGTGGATGGTCGGGAAAAGGAAGGCAGTAAAAAAAAAGTAACCCGAAAACTAAGTTAGAGACGTTATAAGAGAAACAAAAGTTTTATTGCCGAAGGAACAGACTGGGAAGAAGAGGGTGAAGACATCGAAGAAGTTCCTACCGAAGGCACAGATGGTGGAGACTGTGGTCATCATGATGGAGAGGTCGAGGGAGCCGCCCAGCAAGTGAGTCCACATATTGGAGTTGCCGCCACCGGGCGAACTGCCATTCAGGAAGAGTCCCAGACGCATCATGTTGTCGTCAGGGAACATCAGCAGTCCCAGGCCAAAGGCGATCTGTCCAGGGAGGAGGAGGAGGAGGGAAGGATGATAGGAAGACTCTTCGCGGGTTGTGTTGCAGGTGGGACAAAATTTTCTAGGTAACTCCTCTTTACTCAACACCCCCTCCCCATCCTCGCTGTTACGGAGTGCTTAAACTCTCTCAGAAATGAGATACAAATTCCTTTAAAGTATACTCAACCCCTGCCAATTTGGATTCAGGAAAAATAAAAGCACTAACGATGCAATAATAAAAATGCTAGATCTGCTTTACACAGCATTGGAAAATAAGGAATATCCACTAGGAATTTTTATTGACCTAAGAAAAGCTTTTGACACAGTAGACCACGGCATCCTACTCCACAAACTTGACCATTATGGTATAAGAGGCCATGCGCTTGCATATTTCAAATCTTACCTTACTAATAGGTATCAGTATGTCACCATTAAAGACGCAGCATCAACAACACAGCCACTTGATACTGGAGTTCCGCAGGGAAGTGTCCTTGGTCCCCTGCTCTTCCTCATATACATCAATGATCTTCCAAACGTATCTCAACACCTGAACCCCATTCTCTTTGCTGATGACACGACTTATGTCATCTCTCACCCTAATCTTGCCACCCTCAACACCATTGTTAATGAGGAGCTGATCAAAATATCGACTTGGATGACAGCCAATAAACTTACGCATAACACTGACAAAACCTGCTACATTATGTTTGGTAGCAGAGCAGGAGATGCGGAAATTAACATTAAGATCGACAAAACTCTAATTGCCAGGCATAATGAGGGCAAATTCCTAGGCCTATACCTCGACAACCTGAACTTCAGCACCCATATCCAACACATAACCAAAAAAGTATCCAAAACGGTTGGGATCCTCTCCAAGATACGATACTACGTGCCGCAAACTGCCCTTCTCACACTATACCATTCACTTATTTATCCATACCTCACCTATGCTATATGTGCTTGGGGTTCAACTGCAGCAACACAGCTAAAGCCAATAATAACCCAACAAAAAGCCGCAGTAAGAATAATCACTAAATCCCATCCCTGGCAACACCCCCCCCCCCACTCTTCATAGATCTAAACTTACTCCCTGTTCAGTACATCCACACTTACTACTGTGCAATCTACATCTACAGGACCTTAAATTCCAATATTAACCTTGACCTAAAACGCTTTCTTGATAGTTGCGACAGAACCCACAGGCACAATACCAGACACAAACATCTCTATGACATTCCCCGTGTCCGACTAAACCTTTACAAAAATTCAATGTATGTCAAAGGCCCTAAAATCTGGAACACCCTACCTGAAAATTCTAAAACTGCAGACACATTCATCACCTTCAAAACTACCATCAGAAAACATCTTACCTCCCTGATACACCCTGTCAACTAATTACACGAATACCACCTGGTGGTTCACACTTACACTCACTCACCCATTTGACCATAAACAGAAATATCAATCTCAATCTCAAAATAATGAATCTTAACTGGTCATAAGTTGGCCTGTGATACTCCAATATTGAAACTATGTATAGTGCCAAAACAAAAGCATTCACATTGCTAAACTCACAAACTAGTATTTAGTCACTTAGCCATAATACCAACTTACCTCATAATTTTGTAATATTTTAAACTTAAGATTTAATTTAAGTCTGCCCGAAATGCCTAGCCATGCTAGGTGTTCTAGTGGTACACTCTGTAATTATTATTTTACTACATGTAAACCACACAATAACCAAATTCTGTAAACTCAGCATTGTAATCCTTATAGAGAATAAACTTTGAATTTGAATTTGAATGAGTCTGAGTCCCAGTTTTGAAAGAGTTACCGCCTCTCTACGTACAATACCAACTGAACATTTTCTATATTGCTCAAGCTTGCCTAACCACCAGGTTTTCTAACTTTCCAGCCTTCGGAAAACACCGCTAACTTATCCATTTTATTAAGTAAGTAAGTAAGTTTATTCAGGTATACACAAATACGGTTACATAGATTATCATACATAGCAGCATATGTGTGAAGTACCTAGGATAACCCAAAAAAGTCAGACAAAGTGACTTATTTCCATTGGGGTCCTTTATTAGTTGTGGCGTAACTGTTTGTAGTTAATTGTAGATGGTATCAATAAAATTTCTTCATTATTTTTTTGGATTGTCTTAATCGAAAATATTATCCTCTCCTACACACGCTAACTCGAGTCTCACTTCATATGTGACACCTGTCGGCTCTCACATTCAAATTCAAATTCAAATTCAAAGTTTATTCTCTATAAGGATTACAATGCTGAGTTTACAGAATTTGGTTATTGTGTGGTTTACATGTAGTAAAATAATAATTACAGAGTGTACCACTAGAACACCTAACATGGCTTGACATTTCGGGCAGACTTAAATTAAATCTTAATTTTAAAATATTACAAATTATGAGGTAAGTTGGTATTATGGCTAAGTGACTAAATACTAGTTTGTGAGTTTAGCAATGTGAATGTTTTTGTTTTGGCACAGTACATAGTTTCAGTATTGGAGTATCACAGGCCAACTTATGACTAGTTAGGATTCATTATTTTAAGATTGAGATTAATATATCTGTGAGTGAGTGTAAGTGTGAACCACCAGGTGGTATCCGTGTTCAATAGAAATAACTCACTTTGTCTGACCTTCATTTGGGTTATCCTAGGTAATTTACACATATTTTAAATTACGTACGATAACTGCAATTAGGTGTACCTGTACCTAAATTAACTTACTTACGAGCTATTTGTTTTTTGTTAAACCACAAATATAACAAACAGTTTCTTAATTTAATCTACGTATTACTTATTTAACCCACACACCTACCCTCCCCCCCCTTTTCTCTGCAGGTCTAATTTTTGTTTATCCCGATCTTATAAAAATAAATTATGACAGATCTAACTTCGTATATAAGTACAACGGGAATCTTTTACAGTGGACCAGGAGCTATAACTCGATCCCTGCAACCACAAATACGTGAGTACATCATTAACCACAGGCAGTATTAACTATGAGCATCACTAACCAAAGCGTCATGCAAACATCATCACCAAGCATGGAGATCACTTACCATGGGCATGAGAATATACTGACAGAAGATGCCGACGATGGGTCCCACGGGCTTAGAGATGATGCCCTTGACCACCTGCAGGTTGAGGGTGGTGCCCATGAAGAAGTACAGGACGGCCACTAAGACGGCGATGATGAAGGTGAAGGTATCAGTAGTACTTTTGTAGGAGAGCACCACTGACATCTTCATTACTCCCTCAGCCACCACCTGCATCAGAGTAATGACATGAGCATCATCTGCATGACGTCTTCTACCACCACCACCTCCCCCCACACACATACATTAAGTGCAAAGGCTTTCAACAAGACTAGTCTCGAAGCTAAGGGGTATGTCATATGAGGAGAGGTTAAGGGAAATCAACCTGACGACACTGGAGGACAGTAAAGTTAGGGAAGACATGACAACAACGTGTAAAATACTGAGAGGAATTGACAAGGTGGACAGGGACGTAATGTTTCAGAGATGAGACACAGCAACAAGGGGGTCACAACTTTAAAGCTATTGAAGGGCTCTTGATCAAGGAAATGGAGCTACTCTCCCCTTCCTCAAGTCAAACTTGATTACCTCCCGTTCCCGAGGTGCTGTATGATCCCCTACTGGTTGATCTCTTCCCATGAACAAAACAACTACAATAACAACAATAATAATAATAATAATAATAATAATAATAATAATAATAATAATAATAATAATAATAATAATAATAATAATAATAATAATAATAATAATTAGAGAGATACTGATCATGTCCAGAAGGCAAGTGTTTGTATCTTCCTGGACCCGCTGGCCATAGTCTACAGTCAACGTCATAGTACTATGCAACTTTTTATTTTATCCTATTAATCATAAAGAGAAGTGCACCCTGAAAGCACATTAACGAGGTGTTTCGACTTTTCAAAAAGCAGTTACCACTGTTAATTACGAATACATTTTATTGGCTAAGCTTTTATAACAAGTGTCAGGTTCGAGTCTACCTCTGGTCTGAGATACATATCTTTATTTCAACGGCCGTCTCCAGCCAAGGTAGGGTGAAGCATCGAAGAGAAAACATTCACCGCCATTCATTCAATCGAGGTATTAATTCACTTGGTGACATAACTTACTTTGTTGTCGGCGTCATGAAGGACTACATGAAGATTGTTGAAACCCAGGAAGAGAGCCGTGATGTTGACGTATCCGTGATAGGTGATATTGGTGTAGCTAGTGATGTTACGGTCCTCAGGAGCGCCCTCCAGCACGTGGTAGGTGACGTTCCCAGGAACGCCCTCCAGCACGTGGAAGGTTACGTCCTCAGGAGCGCCCTCCAGCACACCGCTCGCACCCGTCACTCTCGACACTACCTGATCCACAATGAAGTAGAAATTATTGTATTACATCCAGCAACTGCTTAGTTAATGTGGTTTAAAGCCTATCGCCTACATGAGGGTCACTATGGCTGCATGTCACCTGTCCACCACCGGCCAATACCATAATACCTACAATAAGTATTAAACTCTCAGTACACACACGGAGTCACACACCTGCGTGTTGTCACCAACATTATTACTTGTGCCTCTAGTTGATAAATAAGACACTTGTGTAACATCTGGATATCTTCATTCTGGTAATGTTTTGCCAGCCAGTGACTGGCGAAGTGTTTCCAGAATAAAGATAGCCTCAGGTTGAGCCAGTGTCTTATTTATCAACTTGTCGGTTTTCTGAACCATTTATTCACATATCTCTAGTCCTACTTTAAATGGAGCGTCTCCTCAAGGGAGGGCCCCAGAGTCCCTTGATAGTGGCGAGGGCCTTTTCATTCAAGGAATGGGACCTGTCCTCCCTTTTCTTAGATCGAATCTGTCTCTATTTCCTTGAAAGGCTGTACAACTATGAATCCAGGACTTTCCCTAAGTATAATAAGTGAAACGGTGCAGCAAAATGATCTTTGCAAAATTATCACGAAAAGTTATAAGTAAGTTTATTCAGGTATACACAAATACAGTTACATAGAATTATCGTACATAGCAGCATATGTGGAGAGAACCTGGGATAACCCAAAAAAGTCAGACAGAGTGACTTACTTCCATTGGGGTCCTTTAAGTTAGTAACTCTCTCTGGTGTTCTTTGATACTACTCCCTCAGGATGCCACAGTAGTTGGCTAATTTCCAGGTACCTACTTACTGCTAGGTGATCAAGGGCATCTGGAGTGGGGAAACATGCCCAGCCCTTCAACTAGTACCGGAGATCGAACCCGGGTAATTCAGACGTGAGCCGTAAGGTACTCACCGAGTTATTCATGAGTGGGGTGACGTGGGTGGGGGTGCCAGCGACGTGTGTGAACCACGTGATAACGTGTTCTGAACCATCCACCACCTCCAGCAGCTCCGTCGGATCGAACAACACTTCTGCTGCCTGCTGCTGCTGCTCCTCTCCTACTGCCTGTGGTGCCTGAGGGAGACGCGGGACACAGTAACAATATACTGTACCTTCAGACCTTGTCAGAAGCCGTAATACATCGTTATATTAAAGGTTTTCGCTATTTATTATGAAATAAAATCGAGTAAAGTCTTTAAATGTGCATAAACAACATACAATATATTTTATCAGTGACCTTAAGGGCACACAGTTATTATAGACACATAAACAAATATACAATCAAATCAAACACTGATTTTTTTTCCATTGTGGGTCCCTGTTATTTGATAGGTTTAGGTATAGACACTTACCATTAATTATACAAAAAGGTGCACGTATGTATAATTGAACAATTGAACAGTACAAGTACACTATCCTCTCTCTTGTCGTTATTATGTACTTTGTGGCCCTTGAACTTTGCTGGCAATGTTGCCAGTCGTGGTGGCAATGTTACCGGTGGTCTGGTGGCTAAAGCTCCCGCTTCACACACGGAGGGCCCGGATTCAATTCCCGGTGGGTGGAAACATTTCGACACGTTTCCTTACATCTCTGTTCACCTAGCAGAAAATAGGTACCTGGATGTTAGTCGACTGGTGTGGGTCGCATCCTGGGGGACAAGATAGAGGACCCCAATGGAAATAAATAAGTTAATCCTCGATGACGCACTGTCTTTCTTGGGTTATCCTGGGTGGCTAATCCTCCGGGTTAAAAATCTGAACGAAATCTTATCTTACCATCCTTGGTGGCAGCGTTACCAGTCATGATGTATTTATCCCAACTTTTAATACGATACCGTATACTATACAAGTCTACACACAGATCATCACCTATACACGGAATCAGGATAACAGACTCGGGGAGGGACGGGGGGGGGGGACGTACAGTAAATACACGGATTCCTAATATCAAACACTGAGCTTAAGAACGTAAACACCTGCTTTATAGGGCAAAAAAGTCAATATTACGCTTATACTACTACTACGACTACTACCACTACTACTATTACGACTATTACTATTAAAACTACTACTACCACTACTGCTGCTTACCAAATAATGTAAAGTATCACGACACACTGAGTCAGGTGTGTCACAACCCACTGAGAGTCAGGTGTGTCACGACACACTGAGAGTCAGGTGTCACAACACACTGAGTCAGATGTGTCACGACACACTGACTCAGGTGTGTCACAACCCACTGAGAGTCAGGTGTCACAACCCACTGAGAGTCAGGTGTCACAACCCACTGAGAGTCAGGTGTCACAACACACTGAGAGTCAGGTGTCACAACACACTGAGTCAGATGTGTCACGACACACTGACTCAGGTGTGTCACAACCCACTGAGAGTCAGGTGTGTCACAACCCACTGAAAGCCAGCTGTATCACAACACACCGAGTCAGTTGTGTCACAACAGACTGAGAATCAGGTGCATCACAACACACTGAGTCAGGTGTGTCACAACACACTGAGTCAGGTGTGTCACAACACACTGAGTCAGGTGTGTCACAACACACTGAGTCAGGTGTGTCACAACACACTGAGTCAGGTGTGTCACAACAGAGTCAGGTGTGTCACAACACACTGAGTCAGGTGTGTCACAACACACTGAGTCAGGTGTGTCACGACACACTGACTCAGGTGTGTCACAACCCACTGAAAGCCAGCTGTATCACAACACACCGAGTCAGTTGTGTCACAACAGACTGAGAATCAGGTGCATCACAACACACTGAGTCAGGTGTGTCACAACACACTGAGTCAGGTGTGTCACAACACACTGAGTCAGGTGCATCACAACACACTGAGTCAGGTGTGTCACAACACACTGAGTCAGGTGTGTCACAACACACTGAGTCAGGTGTGTCACAACACACTGAGTCAGGTGCATCATAACACACTGAGTCAGGTGTGTCACAACACACTGAGTCAGGTGCATCATAACACACTGAGTCAGGTGTGTCACAACACACTGAGTCAGGTGTGTCACAACACACTGAGTCAGGTGCATCATAACACACTGAGTCAGGTGTGTCACAACACACTGAGTCAGGTGTGTCACAACACACTGAGTCAGGTGTGTCACAACACACTGAGTCAGGTGTGTCACAACACACTGAGTCAGGTGCATCACAACACACTGAGTCAGGTGTGTCACAACACACTGAGTCAGGTGTGTCACAACACACTGAGTCAGGTGTGTCACAACACACTGAGTCAGGTGTGTCACAACAGACTGAGAATCAGGTGCATCACAACACACTGAGTCAGGTGTGTCACAACACACTGAGTCAGGTGTGTCACAACAGACTGAGAATCAGGTGCATCATAACACACTGAGTCAGGTGTGTCACAACACACTGAGTCAGGTGTTTCACAACACACTGAGTCAGGTGCATCACAACACACTGAGTCAGGTGTGTCACAACACACTGAGTCAGGTGTGTCAAAAACACACTGAGTCAGGTGTTTCACAACACAATGAGTCAGGTGCATCACAACACACTGAGTCAGGTGTGTCACAACACACTGAGTCAGGTGTGTCATAACACACTGAGTCAGGTGCATCACAACACACTGAGTCAGGTGTGTCATAACACACTGAGTCAGGTGTGTCACAACACACTGAGTCAGGTGCATCACAACACACTGAGTCAGGTGTGTCACAGTACACTGAGTCAGGTGTGTCACAGTACACTGAGTCAGGTGTGTCACAGTACACTGAGTCAGGTGTGTCACAGTACACTGAGTCAGGTGTGCCCACAGTACACTAAAGTCAGGTGTGTCACAGTACACTGAGTCAGGTGTGTCACAGTACACTGAGTCAGGTGTGCCCACAGTACACTGAGTCAGGTGTGTCACAGTACACTGAGTCAGGTGTGTCACAGTACACTGAGTCAGGTGTGTCACAGTACACTGAGTCAGGTGTGTCACAGTACACTGAGTCAGGTGTGTCACAGTACACTGAGTCAGGTGTGTCACAGTACACTGAGTCAGGTGTGTCACAGTACACTGAGTCAGGTGGTTCAGAGTACATTTCTTCAACAGTCGAGGTCTTGGGTTACGTGGGTACTAGTTATGGGTTACGTGGGTACTATTTATGTGTTACGTGGGTACTAGTTATGGGTTACGTGGGTACTATTTATGTGTTACGTGGGTACTAGTTATGGGTTACGTGGGTACTATTTATGTGTTACGTGGGTACTAGTTATGGGTTACGTGGGTACTAGTTATGGGTTACGTAGGTACTAGTTATGGGTTACGTGGGTACTAGTTATGGGTTAGGTAGGTACTAGTTATGGGTTACGTAGGTACTAGTTATGGGTTACGTAGGTACTAGTTATGGGTTACGTGGATACTAGTGATGGGTTACGTTGGTACTAGTTATGGGTTACATGGGTACTAGTTATGAGTTACGTGGGTACTAGTTATGGGTTACGTGGGTACTAGTTATGGGTTACGTAGGTACTAGTTACGAGTTACATGGGTACTAGTTATGGGCTCTAAGCAAATGGAATAACATTACGCTGTATCTCTTAAGTTTCCTCAAGGAAGTCACCTGGATGCCAGTGTCTTGCTTGGCAACGCACTCGCCTCACACGCTGAGTGTCTCAGGTTCAATCTCCGGCACGGGTGGAAAGGTTAGGCATGTTTCCTTACATCTACTGTCACTGTTCACCTAGCAGTAAGTAGGTATCTGGGTGTTAGACGACTGTTGTGGGTCGCATCCTGGGGGACAAGACCGAAGGACCAGCGGGAGATTCGTCTGTAAAAACTTGCATTTGTGGTCACAGTAGGGGCCTATGCTAAGCTTTCTATGGTGCATAAATATACCTAGTTGGATTAATATTATTGTAGTCAGCTGGCACAGTGGCTAACGCGTCGGTCTGGAGTTTTACGACTCTCTGACCGCGGGTTCAAGCCCAACCTGTGGTATGGTTTGACTGCAATCGTGTCATTATGATTTCGTGAGTCATGATAACAGCAACAACAAACAGTGAGTCATAATAACAACAACAACAAACAACACCTACCACCATAGTTGCTACTACCATCAGCAGTAGCAGCAACAGCGTCTGGCGCACCCTGTTGCAGCAACCACCCATATTTGTGTTCTCGTTGTAAGTTCTCTTCTGGTGTGGAGTTGAGAGGTGCTGTGGCAGCAGGAGGAACAGAAGGAGCGCTGGAAGGCAACGAGATCAACACCGTGGCTGACGAGGGGAATACAACGGCTCTGGCCAACCAGATCACTGCTGACGCAGATGAGGTTGAAGATACTGCAGAGGCTTCACGAGTGAGGTGTTTGTGGTTCCCTGCAAAGAAAGAAACTTAGCATGACAGGGTAAATGTTCCTTGTTAATAGCAATGAATTTTGGTACAGACATTTTACCATTTAACATTAAAGACACTAAATTATTCACCCCACCGTTGCTACCTTAGTAGTAATTAAGTAAGTTTATTTAGGCACAGGTACACATAAGTACAATTATCATACGTAGTATAAATTACCTAGAATACCCCCCCCCCCCCAAAAAAAAAAAAAAAAAAAAAAAATCCGGTGGCCTGGTGGCTGAAGCTCCTGCTTCACACACGGAAGGCTCGGGTTCGATTCCTGGCGGGGTGAAAACATTTAGACGTGTTGCCTTACACCTGCTGTCCTGTTCACCTAACAGCAAATAGGTACCTGGGTGTTAGTCGACTGGCGTGGGTCGCATCCTGGGAGACAAGATTAAGGACCACAACGGAAATAAGTTAAACAGTCCTCGATGACGCACTGACTTTCTTAGGTTATCCTGGATGGCTAACCCTCCCGGGTTAAAAATCCGAAGAAAATCTTATCTTCTATTGAGGTCGTTCAAAGGAATAACATGAAAACAAATGTTTGTCTTTATAATGTAATATATACAGGAGAAGGGGTTACTACCCCCTTGCTCCCGGCATTTCAGTCGCCTTTTACGACACGCATGACTTACGGAGGAAGAATTCTGTTCCACTTCTCCATATAAGAAACTGTAAGTAACACAAAGAAATTTCAGTAATACGAAGAATATAATGGCAGCCTAAAACACAGCTCAATATAATGGCAGCCTAAAACACCGCTCAATATAATGGCAGCCTAAAACACCGCTAAATATAACCTTTGGTATAATTCAAATATCAATTGACAGTTCGCATGTGCTGGATCAGTGCTCACGTGACAGTATGTAGTTTATGGGATTTTAATGAGAGAACGTTCCGCCCACCAGAGACTTTATTAGTTGAGAGGATTGATGAAGTCCCTGGTGGAGGAAACATCTTCTAAATTAGTGGCCACAAACAGCACATTGTATGTTATTCGCCTATCAAAATCAGTGTCAGAAACTCCGGTGGCGGCGTCATGTGCATCAGGGAACCAATCTCCTGACGCTGGTCTGTCACATGCTGACCCACACACATAAAACCCGCGCATAGGAGACAGAAAAGCTTTTGCTGACGTTTCAGTCCGTCTTGAACTATTAACAAGACACACTGATGGAAGAAATGTAGGTACAATATTCCTCAGGAAACTCCTGACGCGGGTCTTAGTCAAACGATGACCCACAGCCGAAGCTCTTGGTCATCTGACCGAGAACTTCCTCTGACTTACCGGTCCACCTCTTTAAAAATCATAGTTATATTACAGAACACAGTAAGTGAGTCAGTATATAGAGGTGAGGTGGACCGGGACGGGAGATAGAGAAGAATAACTAGTAGATGAAAGGTTCAAAGAACCGACACGTTGTTAAATTAGACACATGTGCAACTCTTGAGTATCTTTATTGAGATAAAGATACCCAAGAGTTGCACATGTGTCTAATTTAACAAGAATAAGTAGTCTTAGTGACAAAAGTTGTTGTATCACCCACCCCTCCTAAGAAATGGCGGATCATACATACTATGTGTGTGTGTCACTCGTATCTGCAAAGTCTATTAGCAACATTAAAATGGAAGCTTGTAGAGCCCAGATGGCCGAGAGAGAGGTAGGGAAGAGGAGACAAGAAACGAGATAATTGTTAAACAGGTGTGACTCTGGATTAATTTGTTAGGTTGAAGAATACATATGCAACCATTGTGTCATTTTATTGTGGCAGCGTTTCGCTCTCCAGGAGCCGTGACGGTTTGACGAAGCTCCTGGAAAGCCATACGCTGCCACTACGAAACTTCACTTTACCTGAGGAGGCAAATGTGTTCTTTTATCTAACACATTGTACGTAAATCTGCCATCACTACTACAGGATTAATTTGGCTGTTTTTAGCATCATATTCACTAGTTGGTTGGACTTGGCAGTATCGTGTGAATAAAATGTTTACCACACCGTCAGCCCTCAGTCCCTCAGCCTGGAGTCGATGTCTTCGTTGACTCCAGGCTGAGGGACTGATTACCTCAAACTCCTCCTTATCTTCCACCTTTCTCTGCATTTGACTGAAGAAGCCACTGGTTGACGAGGCGTTTTCTGAGAGGGGATTCCCAAGTGTTACACAAGCATCTCAAGTATCAACTCGGTAGTAGCGCGCGAAGAGAGGAAGTGATATTAAATGTCCCATGTTAATGGTCTATGATGACGTTTTGCTCTGTGTAGAGCTTTATCAGGCTGACTGATTTGGGATGAAGCTCTACGGTGAGCGAAACGTTGTCACAAACAAAAGCTTGCGTCGCGACAGTATCTTTTCTTCATTACAGTTGTGCAGTGGTATCTGACCTGACACTGGTGTCAGCCATGATAACAGCGTGTGTGTGTGTGTGGTACACAGACCTGGTTGGTGATATGTGTGTGTGTACTTACCTGTTTGACTATTTGTACTTACCTATTTGTGGGTGCAGGTGTCGATTCACAGCTCCTGGCCCCGGCAGGTCACTGGTGTGTGTGTGTGTGTGTGTGTGTGTGTGTGTGTGTGTGTGTGTGTGTGTGAAGCCTATGTTTGTTCCTGAATCCTTGAGTTAATGTCCTTTACATTAATCACCCTATATGAATATAATCGTCTCCTCCAAGATTGCACACCTCTCAGCTCACTTCCTTTCGCTCGCAAAGAAAGTCCCTGCTCTGCTGTACCTCTTTAATCCTGACACAGATACAGTATATCTCTACCCTTGACGCTGCCAGTACCTGTCACTGACGTTGATATACTGGCCCTCCTGCTCTTGACACTGACGCTGGTATACTGGCTCTCCTGCTCTTGACACTGTCGCTGGTATACTGGCCCTCCTGCTTCTGACACTGACGCTGTTATACTGGCCCTCCTGCTCTTGACACTGACGCTGGTGTACTGGCCCTCCTGCTCTTGACACTGTCGCTGGTATACTGGCCCTCCTGCTCTTGACACTGACGCTGGTATACTGGCCCTCCTGCTCTTGACACTGACGCTGGTATACTGGCCCTCCTGCTCTTGACACTGACGCTGGTGTACTGGCCCTCCTGCCTCTGACACTGACGCTGGTATACTGGCCCTCCTGCTCTTGACACTGACGCTGGTATACTGGTCCTCCTGCTTCTGACACTGACGCTGCTATACTGGCCCTCCTGCTCTTGACACTGTCGCTGGTATACTGGCCCTCCTGCTCTTGACACTGTCGCTGGTATACTGGCCCTCCTGCTTCTGACACTGACGCTGTTATACTGGCCCTCCTGCTCTTGACACTGACGCTGGTGTACTGGCCCTCCTGCTCTTGACACTGACGCTGGTATACTGTTCCCAGCAGGAACACTGTGATACGCTGCACCTCCTTCACATCCGTGTATTTTTGTTTATCATGTTCTTGCAATAGAGAGATTACCTCCATTTTATCGTGTGGCACCGAGAGGACCTCTGAAGCTACGGTACGGGTTAGAACTCACGGCGAGTGAGTCGTAAAACTCCAGGCTAGTGTGTAAGCCACTGGGCCAGCTAGCTACAATAAGATTCATCCAACTAGGTATATTTATACACCATAGGGAGGCTAGCATGGGCCACCACTGTGATCTCAAAGTTTTTATAAGTGAAACTTCCGCTAGGGGGACCACGCTGGCGGGAGTCATAAGGACCTGCTTCGCCCTCCCATCAAGCAGTGTGATTCAACACTAGTCTGTTGGAGAGCGCAATTACTACACATACCTTTTACCAACAAAACACTTGATTAAAAAGAAACAACCCTCGTCGCTTGACCGTGGTCAAGAAACCTTCTAAATGATTATGTGGCAACAAGGATATTTGTCTTCATACTAGAACACCTGAACAACACCTGCACTCACCAGCTTGCGAGAGAAACACGTGCAAGACCTGAGTACCTTCATTATGGAAACGTATTGCCAACCAGTGGCTTTTTCAGTTCAGTAAAGACATTTTGGAGAGAGTGGAAGTTGAGGTAACCAGTCCCTCAGCTTTGCTAGACGGTGCCCAGTCCCCAAGCCTCGTCGGTACTGCATGCCACTATTGTGATGCTTACCCATTGGTTTATGCGAGAGTCGAGACTCAGCTCCTCGTCCCGCCTTGTAACTTACGAAATTGGCCGGTAATTGCTGGTTTCTGGTCAACTGGGCCCTATTGCCATCTGAAACTGTGTAAGGAGTTTGCCTCCACCACCTCCATTTCAACCTTATTCCATTTGTTTTTTCACCCTAACATTACAAAATGCTTCCTAACACCTTTGTGAACCTTTTGTGTACATTTTGTGCACCTCTTGTGAACCTTTTGTTTGCAAGGTTCAAGCAGGAAGTTCAGGGGAAACTTGGCACTTTACATCAGTGAAAATAAGTCACACTCTTTAACTTAACTGGGTTACTTTAGATTAAATTATACATGATTCTTTATATTAAACCATCGCAAGAGTTTTAAGTAATGTTTGAGGCCTAAATGAAAGCTTTCTGAGTAATGAGGGCGCTGTTCTGCCTCATCGAAGAGGTTCAAGTCAGGTAAAAAGGTTCTCAGTTGCCCAATGGATTCTGATCTTCCTGTCGCGATGCGTCGGATAATACTAAAACCTTTTTCTTAAAGTAAACGAGAAAATATTATAGCTGAGGTGTACTACACGACGAAAGAGTATAATGTAGTTTATAGCCATGTCTCGCAGGTTAGGTTTCATAGATAACGACAATGGCGAGTGGAATTTTTAATGATTTTACACTGGAGCAGCTCCTCAGGTGAACTGAGCCACTGGTGGACGAAACGTCCACGGCAGTGTCTTGTTTACGCGCTGCTGGTGAACTCTGTTCGTCAGGAGAGGCAGGAGAGAAACGTGCGGGCACCAAACACTAGCCCACAGGTAGTGGGTCACACACACACACACATCTGCAAGTACCTGACCCTGGCCAGTACCTGACCCTGGCCTGGACGGAGC